CATACATGCTTGACGGTTAAGCGTACTCTTACTCTAGCCCATCTTCAATATATCGCCAATTTGGTCGATAAACTTTCATCTAGGCTGTCCCTTTCCGACTCAGCCGTTCACTTCTACAACATATATTTGCTTTGTTACTTCTTCTTCATAATTAATAAAATAAAATTTAAACCAAAGCATAAAACAGCAAAACTTAGAAAAAAACATGCGTGAGTGTCGTGGAACACTCGGTTGAAACGAGGACTTCGTTTCGTAGTATATTATTATTGATTAACGTGTTATATTATTGATTAACAAAAACAAATAAATGAATTACTAGCGTCTATTAAAATGAAGCGTCATTTAAAATAAAATAATATTTCTTTCATGGCAAGATAAGAAAAAGTGCTAGTGAGATAGATATTATTCCATCTCGCTTCCTTATAGCCGTCAAGACCGTCTACACTACGTCAGAAGAGGTCGTGACGTAAAAATCTTACACTTTTTCTCACCTAGCTCCCATCCGTTCCAATACTGTAACTGTTCGTAGATCAAGCCAAAAAACCTAAAGATATCCTACGTTAACTTCCACGTCAGAACTTCATAGAACGCCCCCCGTGACCGTAGGTGTTGTAACTTGTAAGACACATTAAACATCGAGCCGTTATATCCTATTAAAGTTCTGAGGCCTCCCTAGATCGCCTCATGGCGAGGATATTTGCCATAGTTGCCACGCTTGGCAAGCGGGTTGGCAACCAGAGTTTTGTATTTTTAGTCGTTATTAGGAAAACACTGCTGTCCATCTCCTAATTTTCCATTTTTTGCCTCTTACGACACCCACGGGATGATATGGGGTAGTGGATTTTCTTACACCGCCACTATATGGCACGTCGAGCATTAAAACTAAATTTACAAACTGATAAAATCTGTAAAATTATTTGTATTCGAGTTGAGGAAGCTATATTACACCTATTTCTGCCACCAGACAGCTTTGCATGCTGATACGGTCTGAAGGATATACGAGTATGGCGGATGCCCATACATATATAGCCCTCTTTGTTTAAAATTTGTTGCAGGTGTCCATGAGTTATAGTAGCCACTTACCAACACGTGGACTATTAGTTTCCTTGTAACTTCAATTTTGTACAAGCACAGTCACATCTAATCAGACATAAATATATGGTATACCAAAGCAATTGAACTATAAATAAAATTATAGCGTGGGCATATCATACAATTAATAATTGGTTTGGATGTTAGAAGCAAAAAACATTTAAGTTTATAGTCTGTTCGCTTAGATACGGTCGGCTTTGTGTCGCGCCGCCTTGGCAAGTGCCGCTTCTTAAGGTAGGCGCCGCCGCGACGTCCAAGGCCGCCGTGTACGGCGTACACCCGCAGGAGAATTTGGCGTTTTAAGTTGTGTTTATTACTTTTTTATAGGATAGGGTGACAAACGAGCACACAGTCCACCTGATGGTAAGTGGTTGCTGTGACCCATAGACATCTACATCTATCCTCAATAAAGAATCAAAATGCCTCTTTTCCAGTAAAAAAAGGTCACCGGTTCTCTACACTCACCATAAGAAACACAGTGGTATTCTGTGAGAGCGTGGTCCTCCCCCGGTCGGGCCGACCCATTCGTGTTACAACTATACCACCAATATAGCTGCAGCATGGCTCTACCACGTATCACTTATATTCGTGTTTTATTTCAATATCCAATAGATTAAGACTATTTTATTCTTAGAATAGATTTTTTTTAATTATTTATTTAACAATCACAGATAAAAATCAAAGCAAAATAATAAGTGCGCCTCCGGGTGTACCGACTCTATCTTAATGAACAGACTATACGCGGATGAAACAAATATGAGTAGCAGCAAATGTTAGAGAGAGAGACAAATATGTGGAAGTCAGGTGGGTCGATGAGTACTCGGTAATTGCCTGTCCCCATGTCCCTAATTGTAAAATTAATGAGGAAGCCGGTACTTTTACAATTACTCTCGGTGTGTTGAGATTTCGTTGGCGGTATAATCTAATGCATTTAATACTGGTGACCCTACTGAAACAAAGGTCATTCAAGAGTTGGTTCCTGTTTACAATTGTTCAATAGTCAAATATTTATGAAGTTTGACGGACTGGCCACTTTTCTTTACACTTTATGCCAAAACAACCGTATAGTGGCGGTGTAAGAATATCCACTACCCCATATCATTCCGTGGGTGTCGTAAGAGGCGACAGAGGGAAACAAATCAGAAGATGGTCAGCGGCGTGTTCCTAATAATGACTAAAAATAAAAAAACAACTATGGCAAATATCCCCATTTGACGCAATCTGTGGGGGAGGCCTATGTTCAGCTGTGGACTTTAATAGTCTGTAACGATTACGGTATGCCACAACGTAAAAACAAAAGAAAATTCTAGAATATAAATAAAGCATAAAGTGGTTGTTTCTTCTTTTGGATCCATGAATTAATTTAGGGAGAAGGGGTATACTATTGCTCAAGTATCACCTAGAACCATAATTCCTTCAGGGACGCAATTCGCAAATCATTTAACTTATCTTAAAGATAAATACTCTCATCTACGTATGCCTTTATGTACGAAAATAATAACGGGATAGTTAGGGGGTGAAGGAAAGTGGAAGTTACGTTTATACCCAAACCTAAAATCTCTCATGGTAGAGCCATGCTGCAGCTATATTAGTAGTATAGTTGTAGCACGAATGGGTCGGTTCGACCGGGAAAGGACCACGCTCTCACAGAATACCAGCGTAAAATAGCAGTTTAACACTGCTATGTTGCGTATGGTGAGTGTAGAGAACCGGAGCCCCTTTTTACTGGAAAAGAGGTTTTACATCTTAGTCCTCACGGGTGAGAACGCATCTGCATTTTGAGTTTTTATTGAGGATAGATCTAGATGTCTATGGGTGACAGCAACCACTTACCATCAGGTGGACTGTGTGCCAGTTTGTCACCCTATCCTATTAAAAAAAACCAGGTAAGAGCGACTATACACACCCAAAATCCAATAGATCCATTGACCTCACACCCTTTCTGCTACAGACGATGGTGAGGGTGTGAGAAAGGGAACGAAGGGGTTCGGCGCTAATGAACATACCGCTGCATGACAAGCAACATGCTTTTGGTGGGGACCTCATGGGGCACCTTCAGTTGCGGAGGCAACAGAAAGGTTATGCTGGACCCCTACCGGCTAAAACCCCAAGTTGGTCACTCAGCTATGTGAAGGCTCCCGGGATCTCCGTTCGCAACACAACCGAAGACCCTCTCTTACTTTGTTTTATTAAAGCACGTCCCGACAGTCCTTACTGCCTCCAGAACCCTCGAAGTGCTATTACGGTGTTCGGGACCACTTCCGAATCATCTTCCTACTCGGGAGTTACATTGCCGACTTGGCTGCTCGCAGGGTGAGCTTCTAACACATAGACATAATCAGCACTACACCAGCTAATAACAAGGATTGAAGAGGCCATTCAAAAGAAAGAAATATGTCTAGGTTCCTTCGTAGATAGTACTTTTGATTAAACTAATATCTCCAGCAGAACACAACAGAACAAATTCAGTTCTCCGCTATGATATCTGTCAAATATGTCACTTTTAAGTGGCGCCGCCCTGGTGGCAGAAAAAGTCGTGGATGCCCTCATTATTTCTTCTGCGACAATTTATTTTCATCTTATTTAAATTTATTTAAATATTTACTAATTTGTTTTTGTTTTAAGTAAATATTTATTATGTTTGTTTAAGAAAACCATGGTGTGAATTGCTTCCTTAATTTACAAAGAATCAATATATATATATATACCGGCGTATTTCAAAACTTTGCTAGCATGATTTAAGCTTCGGTATAAATAATAAATACCCACAGTGGCGCCATCTTTTAATAGATTATGTAAAAATATCGGGAAAAATAGTACTTTTACTGTGAGATGGCACTAGTGTATAATATTACTGTAAAGAGGTGAAATTCGTTTGTACGTAGGGAGAAGTAATCTCTGGAACTACGGAACCGATACTCTAAATATTTTCACTAATAGAAAGCTACATTCTTCCTGAATAACGTAGTAACGGTTATATTCATAAAGCTACACGGACCTCTGATTCCTGTGTTGTTCTATGATTATATTTTATTTTAATTCTAGCAGTACCCCGCGACTTCGCCCGCGTGGAACTTATTACGATTGGATTTCATGGGTTTTATATATGCATTTAGTAAAAAACTGTTATTTTGACGTTACACACAGATACTTCAATTTTATTTATTTGTATAGATGAACCAATAAGTTTTCAGTTCGAAATATCAAAAATTACAAATTTTTATAAAACCAAAGAAAAAGCGCTGCGAGGCTGCTTTATCTCCGCTGACGTGATGAATGAATATACATAAAAATAATCTAAAAAAAAAAACATGTCAGCTACACGATAATATCATATGACATTAGTTTCTGCTTGAAGCTACGAGAATACCTGAAACCAACATATTTATTTTTTATAGAATAACGGTGACAAACGAATACAGTCAACCCGATGGTAAATGAAAAATCTAGCCTGTAGTAATCAACATATCTATCCTCGATTAAAAATTCAAATCAAGCGATAATAGCCTAATGACAGAGTTCAGACCGCGAACTCAAAAGGTCGCGGGTTCGAATCCACAATTCGACTGCTATCGTGAACCATTATTAACAAAAGCATTTTAAGCTTACAGATGCGTTGTCTCCCCTAAGGACATAAATGGAATGCCTCGTTTCCAGTAAAAAAGACGTCTCCGGTTCTCTACACTCACCATACGAAACACAGCAGCATTAAGCTGCTATTTTACGCTGGTATCCTGTGAGAGCGTGTATGTAGCATATTATCTATTTTATCTGTGAAAGTGACGCTGTTACTATGGTAACGTGAAACATCCATGTTAAAGTTTTATACGCAATTTTTATTTTGTTTCATTAGTTTAAAAGTATTTAATAGTTATTGTTAATAGTTTGATTTTATATTAATTAGAAAAATGGAATCGGTTGACGAGGAGGACAGCTTTGGGCCAGTGATCGCTGTCGCTTCGGAAACGACAGAGGCTGAAAAAGAGTTTGAAAAGGTGATTTTTCTATAAACGTAATTTTACATCACATCAACACATCAACCACGGAAAATTAACATTCACTTTAGGATTATAAATGATGACTTTACACTTTCAACGAATCAATCGGTATCTAGGGTCCATCGAGCGGTGAAGTTCGTAATGGAACTATATGCGCGACATGTCGCCGCTGATGATAAAAGGGATTGTCCTTATCTTGCTCAAAGGCCAAGCTATTCAGTGAGAAAACACAGCCAGCGTTCTTGGCATTGTATGATAATTTAAGTTTTTAGTTTTAGCATTTTTCATTATGGTAAGTGATATACAAATACAAAATAGATTATTACGGTAACTAAGTCTAATACAATTTTAAGTAATTGGAGCTTCTTTTTATTTTAAACAAATAATCTTGTTCATGCTAGGAAGCACCGCTCTTCCATTGCGAGGTTATACAATAGACTAGAAACCACCAAATAAATGTACCTAAATAAGAACTACAATTCAAATGTTAAAATAAATAAGGTTCACAGTTATTGCAAAGATAAAGATAACGATGTTATGTAAATAAATAAATAAATAAAAGTTATAGCCTACTGCTAGGAAGAGTTCTTCCCTCATATCTGAAATTACAATGCAGCAGTTGTCCCGTTTCTCCAGTCACATGGCCTCCTAATATTTTTTCTCAGACATGTCGGTTTTCTCACGATGATTTCCTTCACCGCGGAACACGCGGTAAATCGGTATTTAAAAGTTGAACTTAACAATTACTTTGGGTATCGGCGGAGATTGAATTGCAATTGCTCACGTTTTATAAAATTTACAATGAGTGCTTTGTCCCTGAGCTACCACGGCGGTCTATCAGTATCATAAACTTGGAAGCTATTAAATTAACAAGGTATATAATAAGACATAACCTTATACTAGAAGCTGTCGCAGGAGAAAATATATTGCGATAAGCTTTTTTATACAAAAATGAAGTGTTAGTGTTAGTGGGCAAGTAGCCCATGAGCAACTGCAGCCAATTTTTTTTTATAGGATAGTATGACAAACCAGCACAGTCCACCTGATGGTAAGTGGTTGCTGTGTGGTCCATAGACATCTACATCTATCCTCGTTTGCGAATCAAAATACGTTATCAGCCGTGAGGACTAAGATGGAATGCCTCTTTTCCAGTAAAAAGGTTCTCCGGTTCTCTACACTCACCATACGAAACACACTAGTATTAAGCTGCTATTTTACGCTGGTATTCTATGAGAGAGTGGTCATTCCTCAGTCGAGCCGACCCATTCGTGCTACAACTATACTACTAATATAGCTGCAGCATGGCTCTACCACGTATAAGAGATTTTAAAATGAGATTTGTTCATTCTGTTTCGTTCCCTGACACGAAGTACTCTACACTCACCATACGAAACACACTAGTATTAAGCTGCTATTTTACGCTGGTATTCTATGAGAGAGTGGTCATTCCTCAGTCGAGCCGACCCATTCGTGCTACAACTATACTACTAATATAGCTGCAGCATGGCTCTACCACGTATAAGAGATTTTAAAATGAGATTTGTTCATTCTGTTTCGTTCCCTGACACGAAGTATATAGCTTGACTTTTACTTCTTTTGAAGTTAGAAGAAGTAGCTACCCAGCTAAACTCTCTTAACAGTTTCAGAAATGTTTATATAAGACTAGCGATCCGCCCCGATTTCGCACGGGTGATTTCTGGATCTCGATAACAGTTCCACCTACTGGGACCAATTAAGAATCTAAATCATCCAGAAGCCCATTTAAACACACAACAATTCCATCAGAATCGGTCGAACTCTTTTCGACTTTTAGAGAGACTAACGGACAGCTATTGACTTTTATATATACAGAATAATAGGACAAGGAAACGGTTACGTCTATCCTTTTGTGTGCCGAGCCGACTACGAATTTAGATTATTTTTGTCACCAACAATAATTGATGGTCTCCATTTTGGTGTGTTTCATTTTGTTGTGCTCGTTTGTCACCCAATCATATAAAACAAAATTAGTTTATGTGACGTTAGTGCTGTTAGCCTTTTGGCTCTTGCAACTTCATCGGACTCAGATGGCATCTCTCATACCGCCACCGCAATTAATGTTGGAAAACTAAAATGCGCAATTTTAACAAACGAGTAGTTAGATCATTTTAGGCACCAAACTAAGACGAGTTAAATAACTGCCTGATTTACCTTTTATTAGGTGTTGGAAGAGTTGCGGGAGGCGGAGGGTCTGAAGCTCTACGCCGACGTGTATACAAAACTGTACGACTCCTATTTCAAGCTAAAGGAAGAGAATGATGATCAAAACGAACAAATCAATATCCTTAAGGTAATATATATCATTTTGTTATAAACTAAGTAGTTATTATAAATCGTAAAAAAGGACAAAAAAGAAGGTACCTAGTTCCGATGCCGATTCTGCTGTCATACAATTTCTAAAGTAATTGTAAAACCATAGTAAATTCGGTAAACCATTACGTCTGATATACGAAATTTAATATCTAAAACAAAGACAAAGAAATAAATTGATTTCTTTTTACAAATTTAACTAACAAAACCTGATCATAGAGTCTATCTAGGACGATATTCTGCCTGTTAACAGATTTTGCAAATACTGATTTTGGTTTACATATTACGGATAAGAAGGCCAGTGCAATTATTATTATATTAGATTACGTGGTTTTAGCAGCTGTAATTACGTTGTTTAAACGTGATAGAGCCATGCTGCAGCTATATTAGTATATTTGTAGCAAGAATGGGTCGGCTCGACCGGGGTGGAACCACGCTCTCACAGAATACCAGCGTAAAGTAGCAGCTTGACGCTGCTGTGTTTCGTATAGTGAGTGTAGAGAACCGGACACCCTTTTTACTGGAAAGAAAGCATTTCATCTTGGTCCTTACTGGTGACAACGTATATGCATTTTGATTCGTAAACAAGGATAGATGTGGATGTCTATGGGCCACAGCAACCACTTACCATCAGGCGGACTGTGTGCTCGTTTGTCACCGTTTTACTATAAATATAAAAAAAAAACAAATAAATTTTTTTTCACAGAAGACCAAAAATTCTCTCACAGAATACCAGCGTAAAATAGCAGCTTAATGCTGCTGTATTTCGTATGTTGAGCGTAGATGTATACATTCAATATTAGTCTTCTGGGGTGACAACTCATCTACGTCATCCACTTACTATCAGGTGGACTGTGTGCTCGTTTATCACCCTTATATTATTGTTATTACAAAATTAAGAAACGACTGGGCAGTTTAAGTAATTTAGAAGCATCCCTGTTTTTAAATAATTAATTTATGGGAAAACCAAACATGGTTGTGATAGATAAAGATTGTATCGTATAATAAAAAAAAAAACATGTGTATAGTTCACACGCAGTAGAGGAAACCTCATTAATTTCTTATTAATAAAATTATATTTAATTCATTTTATATTATGAATTTATTGAAACCCAGATAATGGGAAACACTGTATACTGTATTCTTTCTCATTCTTTCGCAGGCTAAATCCTTTAGATTTATATGTTTGTCTCTTTTTAGTGTCGCTTTTTCGTTTCATCTAGTTTCAAATCACAAAGATTGTAAAGAAGTTTTCACTTCAAAAATATTTGCTCTAGTTTCATCATCCAGGGGAAGACAGAGAAATACGTGCAACGTGGCCCTAACATGTTAAAAATACGCACTCTTCCTTCCTTTAAAACTCTCACAAAAATATAAGAATACATTATTTTAATAGTACGTAAGACGTAGGTAAGATTTGAATATACTAAGAAATTTTTATCTCCATAGACGAGACTGGGCCGGTTTGATGACACAGTCACCGACTATATCAGTGAGCTGTCCGACGCACAGAAAACAATTGATCGGCTGAGAGCGGAAATAGGTGAGGATCCTTCTCTAATAACGTCCAATTGTATGATTATTGTTGGGGACTTTTCCAATTCTTTCAAATTCCGGTCTACAAAAAAAAACGCGCCAACATTATGCTTCATACTTTCTAATAAAGAAAATAAATAAATAATAATAATAATAAATTTATTTATTGACTAAAACCATATTGAAACGACAAAGTTAAAGCCCTGACTCCCTAACTAGCAATAGCAGTGTGTTGGGATTCACTTCCACAAAGTTAGAATTACTAAAAATAGCTTATAACAAATCAGAACAAGGTAACAAAAGAAATAAAAGACTTAATATATATTTTAATATAATATTATAATTAAAAGTAAATTGTCCACCCTTAAAAAAATAACATCCAACCACAATTTTGCAATGGGAGAACTTTTGTTCCAGGTTAATATAAAACTTCTCAATACTACTATTAAATTCGTTGGCACTTATTTTTCGATTTGTACTCGAAGCTGTAGAAGGCAGCTTACAGATTTTTACGTAGTAGTGCCACGCTGCAGCTATAATACTGGTATAGTTATAGCTCGACCGGAGAATGACCACGCTCTCACAGAATACCAGCGTAAAATAGGACCTAAACGCTGCTGTGTTACGTATGGTGAGTGTAGAGAACCGGATACTCTTTTTACTGGAAAAGAGGCAATCCATCTCAGTCCTCACGGGTGACAACGCATCTGCATTTTGATTTGTAATCGAGGATAGATGCGTCATGTGACCCTTATTTCTGTTATTCCTGTGACTTCTTATTTCTACGAATAATAAATATTAAAACAATAAAGAAAAATAAAGATTAATTGAAATTTGTAGGCGAAGGAAAAGCCCGTGCGTAATCAATGTAATGTATTTTTAGACGAAGCAAAGGCCCTGGCAGACGCAATGCACGCCCGTGAACTGGCAAGCGTGGAGAGCCTAGAGACCATGAAAAAGACTGTCAATAGGCTGGAGAAGGAACTGGACGCCCGAAAACGAGCGGGCGAGGACGACGCGTAAGTCAGATTACCGTTACCGTTACAGACTATTAAAGTCAACTGCCTAGACATAGGCCTCCCTAATAGGGGAGGGATATTTGCCATAGTTGCCATTAGCAACTTGCCAAGCTTGACAAAAGGGTTGGCAACCGCAGTTTTTTTTTACTTTTAGTCGTTATTAGGAAGACGCTGCTGCCCGTCTCCTGAATTGCTGCCCTCTGTCGCCTCTTACGACACCGACGTGATGATATGGGGTAGTGGATATCCTTCAGATATCTTTGAAATATTATTTGTTTCTCAGACATGCAGGTTTCCCCACTATGTTTTCCTTCACCACCGAGCACGTGGTAAATCAGCACTTCAAATTGCAATCAACAATTTCTTTGGTGCTGGCGGGGATCGTACCCGGGTTGTTGCGAACGGTAAGCCTGTGAGCTAGCACGGCTTTTAAGTCTGGCGTAAATGAACTGGTTATACTTTTTATGCCACCCACGGGACGAAATGTGGTGATGGATACTCGAACGCCGCCACCATACGACACCCGCCATCTACCTACATTATGCCAAGATCTACCTTCGTCTGTTTTATTACTCCGACGTGAATGTTTCCTCTGAATACTTTACTTCACCCACGTGATAAATCAATTCACAAAATTGCTATCAACAATGAGACTAGCTAATGAGGGCTAATAATTTTCTGCTCACCAGATGTCGCTAGTTGACACTGAGGTAAAGTTTTTGTTACACAATGTCATTTAATTGAGAAATTAGTTTTTAATAAAAGTTTATCAGTTTATAGAGTATTGTATTAATACACAAAACGATGCGTCAGTGGTTTGATCTTTATTTTTTGCACATTTTTAACTTTTTCAAAATATTTCTACTTTTATGAATTATTTTATTTATTTTTAATGTTATTAATATAAAATATAGCTAATAGTACAGAAAGAAACAATACCCTTTACATTTTCCGAACAAATTAACTACTCCGCTATGAAATCTGTCAAATATTATACCTCACTTTAAAGTGGCGCCGCTCTGGTGGCAGAAAAAGTCGTGGATGCCCTCATTGCAGTTTTAAGAACAGCAGGCCTATTCGATAACCTTGCAGATATCAAAATGATAGTCACTTAGCAGTATATTGCGTCGCATGTTTTATAATATTTCCTTTTGAACAGAGAAGCTTTAAAACATTCGAAGCAATTTTTCGATTTCGATGTTAACGTAGCGAATAGGCCTGCTGATTACTGGATGCCGTATAGTATCGGCGTTAGGGAATCCGCTACCCCATATCCCGTGGGTGTTGTAAGAGGTGACAGGGGAGCGACAGAGCAAAGTAAGAGAGAGAGAGGCAACATTTTTACGAAAACATCTCAATAATAAGCCCGCCTGCCAGACGCAGCGACAATAGCAAATGTGTTCCCTATGAGACAGTCTAAGGGTAAGGCCTATTGCCAGCAGTAGACTTTTGATAGACTGTTACGTGTAATGAATGGATGAATGAAAAATATCATTGGTGCCAGTAGGAATTAAATTCGATTTGCTGGCATACACGCACGCTTTACGTGGTAGAGCCACGCTGCAGCTATATTATGGTTGTAGCATGAATGAGTCGGCTCGACATGGGGAGGACCACACTCTCACAGTATACCAGCGTAAAATAGCAGCTCAATGGTGCTGTGTTTCGTGTGGTGAGTGTAGAGAACCGGAGACCTTTTTTACTGGAAACGAGGCATTACTTCTTAGTGTTCAGGGATGGCAACGCATCTATATTTTGATTCTTAATTGAGGATTGATGTAAATATTTATGGGCCACAGCATCCACTTACCATCAAGCGGTCGTTTGTCACCCTTATTCTATAAAAAAAAAAACGCGAACGCTCAACTCCTGAGCAAGCACGGTCTCAATTGATAAACATAATTAAATTTATTAGGGGAGCGACATCTGCTGTGAAAGAGAAAGAGAAGTTCGAAAAAGAAAAGGCACGACTGCAGGGCGAACTGGACAGTGTAAAACTGAGACTTAACAACGCCCTGAGCTACATAGAAGAGATGGAACAAAAGAACACGGCGGCTGAGGAGAGCATTGCTAAGTTGGAAGAACAGCTTGAGGTAAGTCATGAGATTGTTTTTTTTTTCATTAAACATGTTCTATTTTTAGGGTTCAGTATAAAATTCAGCAAAACGCAACACTCATGGAATTACCTCATTATCTGTCTGTCTCTCACCCGCCTATGACTACCAGAACGGAAACAGTAACCGAAACTTTTTTTATTTAATATATATTATAAATGATACTTATTAAGTCACTCTTTTGTTTAATTTACCACTAGTTTGGGAAAAAACCTCTGTCCTGGGAAGAATCAGTAAGAAAACAGGCGGAAGTATTTTTTTGAAAAAAAAAATAACAGCTTACAATCTTAAATGTTACTACATACCTAATTAATAACACAAAATAAATTAGAAATAGCTTGGTAGCGATCACCTCATTCCCAGGGGTTATTACTTTTATATTTAAAAATTAAGTTTCACGTTGTTTGTCCGCGATGAACTCCTAAACTACTGAACCGATTTCATTGAAATTTCGCACACTGTGTGCAGTTCGGTCCAACTTGAGATATAGGATAGTTTTTATCCTGATAAGTGACACTCAATATTTTTTTATTACGAATTAAGGATTTTTTATATGAAGGGTCGTCGAAAAGGGCAGAACAACGTCTGCCTGGCCATCTAGTCATCCATAAATTCCAAAATATTATAATAATCCTTTTTATACAAACTGTTTAATAAAGTTTTTGAACTTTGAGGAGGTCAAATTTTGTATATTTTCTAGGATTTTGTTGTAAAAGTGTATATATACATCGCCCCAATAATGAATAACTGACTCGGTGGAATAACAGGAGTGAAACGCGGTCCTTCACAGCTGGGCGTACGAGGAAGCCGAAAGTCATTCAGCATGCGATGAAAAAAAGTTATGCTTTTTCTGTGCGGCGTAAAATCCGTAACGAGGATACCGCAGAAGAACAAGAGTAACTGACATAGCCCAGCCGATCAGTAAAGTGGCAACAGGCTCTCCATATAGCTCGAAGAACACACAACAAAAAGATTGTTGAGTAGTAGTCGTACTGACAAGCACTCCCTACTACATGGAGTGACGACCTGATGTAACACACAGGCACTCGATGTATGCAGGTGGCTCTGTAATGGTGGCCGTACTTTTTGGCCGGCCTGTGATCAGCGGTGAACTTGTGATGGGCTGTCGTCGTAGTAGTAGTAATGATAACAACTGCCTCGTTTGTCTAGGGTTCGAATCCCGGGTAGAGCCAAAACCAGTTATTGGATTTTTCTATCAAAAAAATCTCAGTAGCAGCCTGGAGTCAGGAAGTTGGCACTTGCACACCCACATGCCCCATGCCCCATGAAAGCACGTACAAACATACGTTGATCCTGCGCCTCTCTCCGGTCGTGTCTGACTGCCGTCCCATCAGGCTATGAGAGTGAGTGAATAGGGTGCAATTAGTCCCCCGCTCTGCTCCATTGCGTGCTGGCTGACTCACATGTTTTTAAAATATTATATTTCTTAGACGTACAAGTTTTCTAACGATGTTTCCTTCACCACTGAACACGTGGTGAATAACCACTATAAATTACAATTTCATTTAAATAAAACTAATTTTACGGATTTTATCGCGTATATTAACTTATTTTACATTCCCGACGTTTCAAGCACTTTACAGTCCCCCCCGTGACCATGGGTGCTGTAAAGTGCTTGAAACGTCGGGAATGTAAAATAAGTTAATATACGCGATAAAATCCGTAAAATTAGTTTTATTTAAATGTGTAGTGTTCGCGTAAATATAAGAAATCAATTACAATTTCGTTTATGTCGGCGGGGCTCGAACCTGTTACATCATTCGGAGTGAGAACTACTTCATTTAGTGCAATAGGGGTCAATATTTTATATAGGCTTAAAGATTTTATCGTATCTCACAATCATATTGAACATATAAATGATATAAAAAGTACATTGTCAGAAAGATAAATGATTGTTGAACTTATTAATATTTTTTTAAATCGATTAATTGCTATGTTTACATAAAAAGGGGTTTTAGTGGCTTATGGTGTAGATTTATCAAGTCCGCGTGGAGGGGTAAACACGATAACTTTTGAAAATATCTATTGTTTAACTCAATCTATTTTTTAATCTCTTCATCTATTTAACCTATGATTAATGTTTTGTGTGTAAACAAAGCTTAATCTATTACATGGGGTAAATAAGAAGAGTAGATCATCGGAGACTTTTTTTCTCAGTTTAATTGTTATCTGTTAAACTGCCGACAACTTTTGGAAAAGCTGAAGATATTATCTCGAGTTAACTATGGTATCAGGTACTCAAAAACCTTAGTCCACCCAAAACCATGGGGGACTGAGTTTTAAATTAAAAGCGATAAAATTCTTCATATTTTTTTATCCGTTTGCCCTGAATTAGTTTATCCACACAATGCCACTTGGTGGTAAGTGGTGATGTAGTCCTAGATGGTAAATCGCACTGTCTTAACGTAACAAAAGCCTATTCACTTTTGCCTTGAAGACGCCCAGATTGTATTCGAATCGACTAAAAGACAGAAGCCGGCAAATTTTTCCACTCCATCGCTATACGCATTACAAAAGACGAAGTAAACCGTATGGTTGTAATGCGTAGAATATCGATAACACAGGGGTGAAGACCCACCGACCGCCTGGTTGGCCGATGGTGGAAAGGAGGGGGAGGAATTAAAGCATGTAATTCCTGCGCATACTCACCGAAATGCAGAAACGCAAATGCAGAATACTGAGAAGCTGGCTATTCTGCGCCTGTGCTCGAGATTGACAGTTATATTTTCGGGTCAACCGGTTTTTATAGTACGAGGTGTCCAAAAGTCTTGAGTTTCTTGAGTACTTTGCAGCATCCAAGCCATTGCTAATTAATTGTTTATTTCTAAATATATAACGAAATAATAAAACAAAGAAATGAGTAAATAAAAAATATTTATTTTCACATTTTTTTATAGGATAAGGGTGACAAACGAGCACACAGTCCACAAGATGGTAAGTGGTTGCTGTAACCCATAGACATCTACATTTATCCTCGATGAGGAATCAAAATGCAGATGCGTTGTCACCCCTGAGGACTAAGATGGAATGCCTCGTTTCCAGTAAAAAGGGTCTCCGGTTCTCTACACTCACCATACGAAACCCAGCAGCATTAAGCTGCTATTTTATGCTGGTATTCTGTGAGAACGTGGTCCTTCCCCGGTCGAGCCGACCCATTCGTGTTACAACTATACCAGAAATATAGCTGCAGCATGGCTCTACCACGTATAAAATGACATTTACATTATTTAATGACACATTTATTAATTACGATCTAAGTGAATCGATGACACCGATGATTGAGTATATAATATTATAATTACAGGGCCCTACTATTTCAATTTAGTATTCATACCTAATTATTTGTCGCTTGTCGTAGTCATATAGTTAAATTGACGTCGATTTTTATGAGTAAGGTCGATATAATGTACGATACGTGTCGATTGTACCGCGCAGCTGTGTACAGTTGACACCAAGTTTCAGTGAGTGTGTGTGCGTTGCTCGTTATATTACATACAGCCTATCATACCTTGACTGCCTGGTTGGTATAGTGGTTGTATTAGTGCGACTGCTGATTTGATGCTGATGAGGTGCCAGGTTCGAATCTCGGGTCGGGCCAAAAAAACAGTTATTGAGCTTAGCTATAAAGCCGTTGGTCCTGCGCCTGATCTTTCTCCGGTCGTCTCGGTTCACCGTCTCATAGGACTATGGGAGTGATGAATGTAGAGCCACGCGGCAGCTTTTTCTGCCGCACGGATGGGCCGGCTCGAACCGGGGTGGTACCACGACCTCACAGAAAACCAGCGTGAAGTAGAGGTTTACCTCTGCGTTTCGCTTGGTGAGTGCAGGTGGCCGGAGGCCCTTTTTACTAGAAATGAGGCATTCCATCTTAGTCCTCACGGGTGACAACGCATCTGCATTTTCAGTTGTAATAGAGGATAAATGTAGATGTCTATGAGCGGCAGTAACCACTTACCATCAGGTGGACTGTGTGCTCGTTTATCACCCTTATCCTATAAAAAAAAATAGAGAGTGCACCTGCACTTGGGGGAAATGCGGCTGATTTAGAAACTATTTTTGTTTTGCAGAAGAGGGCCATAAGAGCTATTTACAACCTTAAACAGAGAGAGTCTCTTAGAGAAAAATTTAAAGAAATAAATATATTAACTTTGGCCTCTTAGTATATTTACGAAAATTTAATTTATATTCACAAAAACAAAGATAGTTTTAGTAAAAAAAAAGTGATATACATTCTGTAAACACTAGGAACAAACACAAACTAGTGATATTAGTCTCTCGACTACACAGTCAGTAGTTCATTCTTGGGGCCATTATATAACTCAATGCTTGGGGCAATGTATAAGCTATTACAACAAAGTCCCAGAAACTATACAAGGTCTCTCTATTACTAAGTTTAAATATTTAATTTAACCAAAAACTGTATAAAAAGGGTTATTATAATATAAATGAATACACGATTGATAATAACCCCTGAGAATGAGGTGGTCGCTTCCAAGCTGTTTCTAAAATATATTTTGTAAATAGTTTGTAATCATTTATATTATAAAATTTATTTTAAAAAAAAGTCCCGATTAGTTTCTTGTTGGTTTTTCCCAGGACAGCGGATTTTTTTTCGAACCAGTAAAGTAAATAATTTAAAATAAAAAATTTTGTACAGCCGACTTCAATATAAGTTATTTAATAATAACTCAAAAACTATTAGTCTGACCTTGATCAAATTCATATGGGACCACACGAGAACTATCAGCTTTCACATAAAAAAAGAATCATCGAAATCGGTTCACCCAGTACAAAGTTATGAGGTAACACACACATAAAAAAAACATACAGTCTAATTGAGTACCGTCTCCTTTTTGGAAATCAGCAAATAAAAATGACTTTCAATAAGAATTACTTGTAATCAATATTGAATAAAAATTATTCTATTCTATTCTTGTGCATACACTTGGGCACTATAATCCTGTCCTGAGCCGATGGCTAGTCTCCGTTGAAGCTTTCCGCCATGGCCGAATTTCGGTCTATAGGACATTATTATTGCAGCTTATCAAGAGTCAAATATTAAACATAGGCCTCCACCATTGATTGCCTTGGCAACCGAAATTACATTTCCCTCTGTCGCCTCTTACGAGTATGACCTATGCGATGGACAGTGGCAGTGGAATCTCTTACGATGCCATTATAGCCAGTTCGGTTCGCTTAGAAGCTTATGGCGGCTCTTCACGTTGGCCAACATAGTGGCGAATGTTTTGGCAGAGATATTGGCCATAGAATTTGTGATCGCGTCCACTCGTTGGAAGGTCGTTCAGTTTGCTTCGGTTCAGGCCAATGTGCGGACGAATTTATTAAAATGATTATTGATGCGCTAACGGCTGGTGCGGTTTATTTATTAACAGCATACCACTATAACGTGAATGTGTATAAGAAAAGGGTGATCGAAAAGAAATGGAAAAAAATGGAAATTTTATTTCTTGACGACTCCGTGGCGTAGTGGCTTAGCAATGAGTTGCTGCGTTGGGGGCCGTGGGTTCGAATCCCGCACGGAACAAGTATTTGTATGGCCTGCAAATAATTGCTCCGGGTCTGGATGTTTGTCCTTGTGCAATTTATGTTTGTAAACTGCCTCCACGATACAGGAGAAAATCCTAGTGTGGGGGTAACGTTTATTTAAAAAAAGACTTGAAAAACTTATGTTTCACAAATAATTTCCGGCTTGGTAGGGCTCTATAAAGAGAAAAGTTTTTTCTTTGGTCATTGTTACTGTCATTATGTAGACACTAGTTACGATACGTGCATATAAAATTTAAATAAGGTGCGTGCGATCCAAGAACACTATTTCTCCGAGTGCGATCACTCTGGGAGCTCGTAGCAAACTGAACGTGCGCCCAACGTGTGGACGCAACGGCCAATACTCTGCCATAACCCTTTGATCTTTTGCAAAAAACCGACACCACACGGATCTCGCGCCAACTTGTGGGCCATCGTTCCAATACATACCAACGTAGCTTAAACACCCGCTCTACAAGATGACCATCGTTGTTGGCCAACACATTCGCCAGTATGTTGGCCAACGTGAAGAGCCGCCGTTAGATACGGTAGTCTTTGTGCCGGGCCGCCTTGACACGTGTCGCATCTTGTCAAATGTCGCCGCCGCGACATCAAAGGTCGTATGTACGGCGTACATCTGCAGGAAAATTAGGCATTTTAAAACGAAACGCTGTAGTGAAAAGTTATTTGCTACCTATTATTTATATTCTTATTTTATTACAATAACCATAAGAGTAAAACAAGGGTGACAAACGAGCCCAGAGTCCACCTGATGGTAAGTGGCTGCTGTGGCCCATAGACATCTGCATCTATCCTCGTTTGCGAATCAAAATGACTAAGATGGAATGCCTCTTTTCCAGGAAAAGGGTATTCGGTTCTCTACACTCACCATACGAAACACAGCAGCATGAAGCTGCTATTTTACGCTGGTATTCTGTGAGAGCGGGGTCTTTCATCGGTCGAGCCGACCAATTCCTGCTATAACTATACAGTTAATGGGGCATGTTACATTGTCAATATTATCACAATATCGTAATAATATTGATAGTATAATAGGCTGTATCGCAGTATCGTGATAATATCACAAGTTATCCGGAAATTTTGAATTCCGCGATACTGGCTTCAATAATATTGAAATGTAAGAGCTTTGCGATATTTTTTCTGTCAGTATTCGCTCGCAGTTATGGTGGAACGACGTCCGAGTAGTGAAAATAACGAATTACGCTCTGTCGTTGATAGTAATGAGCAAAAAATTATTTAAAACAATTTATTTTTTTATTTGAAACGTGCCCGTCTTTGTGGAATCCGAAAGATAAACATTATTTAAATACTGTTAAAATAAATGAAGACTTGGTTATGCAACCACAACACCATAGGGTTGTTAGGGTTTGTATCTAGAGGGGGCTGCATAAGCATTGGGCAGTATCCAGTAACTGTAGAGTCAGCGCTTTTGGTTGCATGAGATATGAGGCAGAGCTCGTAGGTGCGGCCATTTCGTTTTGACAACGACTTCTGTCAACTTTGTAATTCGAAATAAATACATTTTAAATAGTTTTAAAAAAATATTTTTAACGCGCATGCAAGTAGTATAGCTATTGCTTTTATTCCATATATATATATTTCTAATTTATTCAATTTTCTTATACGAAACACCACTTCACTCTAGTGAATTCAACGGCATACTGATGGTGATATTATTGACAATGTAACATGCCCCAATATAGCTGCAGCATGTCTCTATCACGTATAAAAATTATAGTATTCCATTTTATTCTTAAAATAGAAAAACAATTATTTAACGAACACAGTAAAAAAATAATAAAATAAAAGCAAAATAATAAGTGCGCCTCCGGGTGTACCGACACTATCTTAGTGCACAGATTATACACGGCAAAATGTGTGGATCGAAATTCAAAATGTTATGTGCCTTCGTTGACGCTACTTATAATCTCGTGGTCTTGTTGTTGTTTGAGTCTCTCTTCGTCACTGCTATACATTCATTATTTTATTGTTCGTCCAGGAAGCAGACAACAACGCAGTACGACAGAATCGACTGGTGGAGCATCTGAAAGCGGAGACTGCCTCACTGAAGTCTGAAATTGAGCAAAGAGGTGCTCACATCGGTAACCTCAACGATAAGGTAAATATATAAAGCTAATTCTTTAACATTAAGTACCTACATAGAACGTTTTACTATACATATAAAAACAATAATTTTAAAGGGCCGTCTATTCATTACATGAGTTACCAATGTGCTGTTAAATGGGGAGGAGTTGAGTCTTGTGGATACCACTGTTTTTCTTGGTATTACTATTGACGCGAAACTTCAATGTGGCCTCCATATATCTAAATTAGCAAGCAGACTTAGTTCTGCAGCATATGCTGTAAGAAAGATTAGAAGTCTCACAGATGTTGAGACCGCTAGATTAGTGTATTTTAGTTACTTTCATAGCGTAATGTCTTATGGAATTTTGCTATGGGGTAATGCGACTGATATTGAAGCTATATTTGTTTTGCAAAAGAGAGACGTACGGGCGATTTATAACCTAAATTGTAAAGAGTCCCTCAGAGAAAAATTTAAAGAAATAAACATATTAACTTTGGCATCGCAATATATTTATGAAAATGTAATGTATATGCATAAAAACATAAATAGCTTTAATAAGAATAAGGATGTGCATACTTTAAGCACTAGGAACAAACATAAGCTTGTAATGCCAGTTACTAGACTCCACAGAATCAGTAATTCATTTATTAGACTGAGAGCTGGCGACGAATTTTGGGAAGTTCCTTTGGGCAAGTTGAAATTGTGAAAAAATATAATTTCGTCAATTGGCGAATCCAGTCCCGCGAGTCTGGCAGAGCGCTTGCGGTTATTTTGCTACTGCGCAGTATATACATTTGCAAAAAAAAAAATTCCTAAAAAATGTTTTTTGACAACTTGATTTCTTTTTTATCTTTTTAGTTTTTATATAATTAAAAAAAATAATCCCAGACGTTTTTGTCGGTTATAAAGTATTACCAGATCTCTCCAAAAATATTATTTTTTATTCCCAAAAAATATACTTTTGGCAATCTCAAATTTTAATCACGTATTTATTGAGTAATTTTTAATAACACCCGCAAATTGCCAGACGAATTTAGCGGTTGTAAACAATTCCCAGACGTGAATAAAGTTTACCAACTAATACGACAAAAAGTCTTATGCGTAGCCACATAAGTGCGAGAAAGATAGCTTATCGAAGCATGCCGGCAGCGGATGGAGGCCTAAGCTCCTCGCGCTGTGATTGGTTATCAAGAATTTTTTTTTACAGATTTTAAGATTAAATTCTTGTTTTGGGATTTAGCGTGTATGCATGCGCTTACTTTATTTACTCCGGGCTCGAATATCGTCGGGAGTGGTCGTTTGTTACCACTGCTCGTGCCGAAAAATATCGATCGCCGTAGAAATACAAAATATTTCAAAAACCAATTTAGCTAACACCATAACACCTATCTGAGTACCATCGCCAATGAGTCACAAACACTATACGGGAAACCGTATCGAAATCGGTCAAACCGTTTTGGAGGTAAATTGCAACATTCGTTTGCACCCTAAATGTTCATTGCAGCGCTCCCTGGCGAGTTAATACCATAACATTTACCTAAACACCATCGCTGATGAGTTACAAACCCTTTACATGAAACCGTATCGTAATCGGTCAAACCGTTTTGGAGATAAATAGTAACATTTGTTTGCACCCTAAATGTTCATTGCAGCGCCCCCTGGCGATCTAAAACCATAATATTTACCTAAGAACCATTGCTGATGAGCCACAAACCCTTTACAGGAAACCGTATCGAAATCGGTCAAACCGTTTTGGAGATAAATTGCAACATTCGTTTGCACCCTAAATGTTCATTGCAGCGCCCCCTAGCGAGTTAATACCATAACATTTACCTAAACACCATCGCTGATGAGTTACAAACCCTTTACAGGAAACTGTACTGAAATCGGTTAAGCCGTTTTGGAGATAAATGGAAACATTCGTTTGCACACACAAACAAACAACCTCTCACCCTAAACGCATACACCTTCTCCGTTCCGTCGCGGGTAAAAAAGTTAATTTTCATGTAAATGTAAAAATGTAATGCGGCCGCGGCACTGAGTGCATCACCGCATAAACTAATGCAAATATTTCGGCATTTCACAAAATTTATATAGGTACATATATTAAATACACATCTTTGAAACGTCAAATCTATAACCGATTTTGACGTTTCCGAAACATCGGATCTCGGCCTACAGCGATCTTAGCCCTGTTTGAATCAGTATTATCTGGCTATAACTTCATAAAACTTAGTATTCAGATAAAATAATAACAAATAAAGCTATATTGTCGCTAAAAATCAAAAGCAAGTGTTAGGGAAACACCGGATGGACAAAAAATTAGGGTGAGTGGGGGGAAGATCGAACGGTTTCTTGATGAGATGAGCAGTGTTGCGTTTCACGTCTTGTTGAACAGTACATATTAACTTAAGCTAAAATTATATCTATAGTGAATAAAGTACAATTAGCATATTTTTATGTCATATCGATAAATCCCTGTTATATTTATTCGAAAGCAAAAAAAAATTAATTGCAATGTTTTTATCGAAAGAAAAAAACAAGGGGAAAGATGAAAGGGTGGAGGGGAAAGATCGAAGTAGTTTCTAAAATCGTTCAAATTAACGTCAGACGATATTGACGGCCAGTAGGCTACAATTTTAATTGTCCTGACACTTCAGGACTGTCTATAATATCAAAATACCTTTAAATAACACAGATAACACAACTTATTTGTTTTTTATATATCAATCTTGCCCCGCCGGGGAAAGATTGAACTAGAGGTTCTCAAACTTTTCACTTTACTTGGATAAGATTATACAGAAAATGAAAGGTATCAATCATATAAAATCTTTTATTGTTAATGCTAAGATAATTTTAAACACGTCGACGTCGGGTACCATATTGCTAGCATTTAAAAATATAGCATAATTCGCCGGAAATTTGAATCTTACGATCTTGCCCCATCACCGATCTTACCCCTACGCACTTTACGAGTTCAATTTCCGCCCGCACCACCGAAGTTTCACTTGCTCAGCTGTCACATGTCTAAAATAATAAAAATATTTTAGAATATATGTGAATTACGCCAACACGCATTTTCATCAAAAACAAATGTATCGGAATTTTTAGTAATGTCACCTTAGGCATAATACGATTTAAATTTCTTAGTAAAATAGTACATGTAATTCGCAGCTAAGCAAAGCTGAAAAGAGCATCGAGCGACGTGAAAAACAACTCAAGGATATGGGACACAAGCTCGATATAGCACAGCAAGAGCAAGAAGCGGCATGCGCGAGGGCTGCCTCGTTGAAGGAACAACTAGATGCGACCAATTCACAGTTAGACGCAACCAAGCAGAAGTTACAGAACACGTCTAAGGAGTTAAAGGTAATTTTAAGGTTCCTCCTAATCCTAAAAGCTATGTCTACACCAGTGCGCTCTCCTGTTCATCTTGCGTCTTCCTCTAACGCATACTTGAGCACTCATAGCGCATGCAATAGCGCATGCGCTAAAACTAGTACGATAACAGCGCATGCCTCTAGCGAACGTTGATCCGTCACCGGTGGGTTCGCATGCAATATTTCGTGCGTTTTAATAAGCAATATGGCGGAACACAAAGTTAAATTATTAGATAATGAGTGTTATGCTTCGTAATTTTTGGCTCCACTAATTTCAAAAGCTTGTAGAAAGTGACTTTAGTCATTCGTGTGAATTTTTTAAAAAGAATGTCTATCGCAGACATTTCAGAATACTGTGCACGTTATTTTCAGTTTTACACGATTCGTTAGTCCCTGAATATCTGAAATGCAAATTTCAGTATCAAGGTGATACCCATAATCGTTGTCTCCGTTCTACGGAAAAATCTAACCTCCATGTTCCCCTCTGTCACACTAGCTTGTTACACAAATCTTTGCATTTTGCACCCACAATATTTTCTCTGCTTAGCCTGGAGGTAGACTGGTAGAGAATGCCCTGTTGCATTAAGTCCGCCTTTTTGTACTTGGTGTGCAAATAAAGCATAAATAAATAATGTTATTTTTTAACTATAAATCTTTCAATATTGTGTTTTTTTGTTTCTTCATATAATCTTTCACATAGATACTCCTTTCCTTGCGTTTTTTCCCTGCACTTAACACAAAATATGTAGCGCTGATAGCTACTAGTGCCGCGTCCATCTGTAACCAATTCTAACCGAGGCGCGTGAAGTATAATATGCGAGTTGCATGCGACAAGCGCACGGGTATAGACGATAATCTGCATGCGTCTTATGGCACAGCGCTTGACGCTAGACGAACTGAAAGTTGTCGCAAAATGAACATGAAAGCGAAATTAAAAGCGCACTGGTGTAGACATAGCTATTCTAATCTTTATCCTAATATCGATTTTAAACGACATAAATATATTACTCACTGACTGTGGTACGACTCTCTCTCCTGCCTAGGAGTACATCAGGATAGGCACCGCCTTCTTACCTGCTTGTGGCTCCAAGCAGCAACGCGTGCACTACTCTGTTTCAGTGAGAAGGATATAGAGAACCAGTTATAATATGATAAATAGACCATGAGACATTACATCTTAATTTTCAGAGGTTACAACGCATCTGTATGTTCTATTATCTGTGTGTTCTTTGATTAAAGTTGGCTGCAGGAATCCATGGGCTGCAGTTAGTCATCATCAGGTGGATTGTAGGTTCGTTTGTCTTTCCAATTTTGTAAACAATTATTGTTAAAACAATTATACCTAGTGTTCTCGTCTAGTTGGGATCTTATAATACAGCTAAATGTATTTTTTTTAGAACATGACAGACGACGGCGTCAGAATGCGCAACGAGATAACGAAGCTGAGCAAGCAGTCCACGCAGCAGACCAAGAAGTATCAGCTTCTGGAACAGAGCAAAGCCAGTATTGAAGCAGAAAGGTTAGAAGACAAACAAAGACAAACATTTAGAAAAATCTTGCCAACCAAATAAGAGTATAAGAAGAATTGGTTATGAATTTTGCGCGTAACGGTGAATTATCTAACGTTTCTTCTGACATGGTAAAGCTACGCTGCAAATGTAATTTATGATAACAGCGCAAATTGATCGGTTCAATAATTTAAAATTAAAAATTTTGTACAACGGACTTCAACACAAATTATTAAGAATAACTCAAAAACTGTTGGTCAGACCTTGATCAAATTTATATGGGATCGCATGAGAAGCACCAGTTTTCAAATAAAAAAAGAATCACCGAAATCGGTTCACCCAGTAAAAAGTTATGAGTTAACACACATAAAAAACATACAGTCGAATTGAGCTCCTTTTTGAAGTCGGTAGAAAAAAGGAGCATGCTTGCAGAGCCAGAGGCAGGGATCCTTTTTACTGATACCGTGGCATTCTATACTAGATTCAGTTGTACGACGCATCTTCATTTTAATTCTTAATCGAGGATAGATGTAGATGCCCATCGGCCACAGCATTCAATTACGATCAGGTGGAATGTGTGCTCGCTTGTAACCCTTATTCTATTTAAAAATAAAATGAAAAACGCAAAACTGGAAACATTACTTGCAGGCTACACAAATACTAACTACCCGTGTAGTGGAGGTGTAAGAACCACTACCTCATATCAACCCGTCGTAAGAGGCGACAGAGGAAAACAAATCAGGAGATGGGCAGCAGCGTCGTCCTAATATCGACTAAAAATAAAAAAACTGCGGTTGCCAACCCACTTTTAAAGAGTGGCAACTACGGAAAATATACTCCCCCCCCCCCTAATGTTCAGAAGTTTACTTTAATAGGCTGTAACGATAACGGTAATGAGAACAAATACTTATTCCCTGCAGCAGTCGCGTGCCGTTACTCAAAGTTTAGCCAATGTACCACGGAGCCGTTGCAGAAATGTTTTAGTTAAATATAGAAAAAAAACAAGAATAAGAGAGATAAACGAGAACATAGTATATCTGATGGTGAATGGATGCTGTGGCTCATAGACATCTACATCTATCTTTGATAAAAATCAAAATGCAAATCCGTTGTCACCCTTAAGGACTGAAACAGAAACAGAATTTTTTTTATTCAATATAGATTATAAATAATACTTATTGAAAGTCACTCTTTTGTTTGATTACCACTGGTTCGGAAAATACCTCTGTCCTGGGAAGAACCAGCAAGAAACCCAGCGGGACTTTTTTTTTAAATAACAGCTTACAATCATGATGTTACACAAATTAACAACACAACAAATTAGAAATAGCTTGGTAGCGATCACCTCATTTCCAGGGGTTATTATCATCCATAAATTCCTTAATATTATAATAACCCTTTTTATACAAACTTAGTTTAATAAAGTTTTTGAACTTTGAGCAGGTCAAATTTTGTATATTTTCTGGAATTTTGTTGTAAAAGCGTATACATCGCCCCAAGAATGAATTACTGACTCGATGGAGTCGAGTAACTGGTACTACTAGCTTGTGTCTGTTCCTAGTATTTACAGAATGAATATCACTTATTTTTGTAAAACTACTTTTATTTTTGTGTACGTACATTACATTTTCATAAATGTATTGAGAGGCCAAACTTAATATATTAATTTCCTTAAATTTTTGTCGCAGCGACTCTTTAGGCTTTAAATCGTGTCCCCATAGCAAAATACCATACGACATTATGCTATGGAAATAGCTGAAGTAAACTAGTCTAGCTGTTTCAACACTGGTTAGACTTCTAATCTTTTTTACAGCATATGCTACAGAACTAAGTCTGCTTGCTAGTTTTGATATATGGGGGCTCCATTGAAGCTTCGCGTCTAGTGTGATTCCAAGAAAAATGGTGGTATCTACAAGACTCAGTTTCTCCGCATTTAAAATTACATTAGTAGTTAATTGTTTGACATTTGGAGTCATGAATTTCATACATTTCGTTTTAGTGCCATTTAAATGCAAATTATAAAAAAAAAATTACATTTGATCAAGAACAATTTTTTCAAAAATCTTACTAAGTGTTGGTAGTACAGAAATAGGTCTAAAATAGGCGGGGTCTAATGTACTACCAGATTTAAATAAAGGTATTACTTTACTATGCTTCATTAAATCAGGAAACACACCAGATTCGATACTAGTATTAAAAATAATAGCTAAATGAGGCGCGTTGTATCTATTATAGACGCAATAACTTTAACGGAAATCCCCCACAGATCCGCAGTTTTCTTAACATCAATAGTTTTAAAATATTTTACAATATCTTTCGATGACACTTTATGAAATGTAAAATTCTTTGTACACGCATTTACATTTTGTTTAAGTAATGATTCGGCGACGGCAGGAGAAGAATTCAGTGACTTAGTGGTCACGATCGGAATATCAGTAAAATATTTCTCAAAAGCCATTGCTATGTCCTGATCTGATACAGTTAATTTGTTGTTAACACTTAACTGGTAATTTGAATTGCAAGAGTTGATCTTACCAGTTTCGCTATTAATTATACTCCATGTCATTTTAATTTTATTGGAAGCCGTCTTAATTTTGTTGCTCAAATGCAAAGACTTGGCTGTGGAGCACACCCTTTTAAATATTTTTGAATATTTTTTTACATATTCCTTAAATTCGACGCTATGATTATATGACCTTTCATGGTAAAGATCATATAAACTATGCCTGCTCTTATGGACTCCTACTGTCGCCCATTCATTGAATGACTGCCGACTGTTCAAGGAGAATGTTTTAGAAGTAAAAGTATTATTAAATTCATTGCAAGTAAGCTTAAATAATGTTCCATACAAAAAATTAGGATCATTTTGGTATGAAAGTGATGGAAATTTTTTCACTATGTTACTTCTAAATTTCTCCAAGCGACGTGCATTTACTGGAACAGACACAACTTTCTCATCTACTTGCTTTTTGTGAACATAAGGTAACGAAACTACTTGTCCACAGTGATCAGAACTTAATTTTTGAATTATACATTTATGCAACGGCTTCACATTTGTAAAAATGTTATCTATACATGTTGCACTAGATTGAGAAATATGCGTACGACTAATATGAAATGTCTCGTTTATCGCATTAGTATTAAGCTGCAATTTTTCGCTGGTATTCTGTGAGAGCGTGCTTATCCGGTCGAGCCAAAACATTCGTTTCATGCAATATTTCTTAAAATAAAATGTTGTCCGACATATAATACTTACTTACTTACTTACTTATCTTTACGCACAATCCCTGACGGGGTAGCCAGAGAGAACAGATCGCCAAGTGTCACGATCCTTACATACCTCTTTCGCTTCTTTCAGATTCATTATCTTCTTCATACATGCACGTCTAGGTATCCGAGTACTCTTGACCCTACCCTCTTCGAGCAATTTGCTCACATGGTCATAGTTAGTCTCGGTCTACCTCGACACCTTTTAATATTAACTTTCGCGCTATATATTTTCTTCACCATTCGGTCTTCACTCATTCGCTCAACGTGCCCAAACCACCGAAGCACGCCCTTATCAATTTTTGTGATAAGGTCATCTTTCAAACCTGCCATATTGCGAATCTCTTCGTTTCGCTTTCGGTCGGCCATGGTAACGCCGCACATTTTACGAAGAGATCGCATCTCCACTGCATTCAACTTGCTTTTATGCTTCTTCTGGCATACCCAGGTTTCGCTGCCATATGACAAAGTCGGTACCAACACAGCGTTATGTATTGCAAGGCGTGCACTCTTCACTACGCCTTGCCTTTTGACTAACGCAGTCAGGGCACCATTGACTTTGTTCCCGGCAGCGACACGCCTGTCCACATCTAAATCACATCTTTCATCCCGGCTAAAAGCACTCCCCAAGTATACAATTTCATTTACCTGTTCTAGACATTCCTGATTTATCCATATTTCACACTTCGTTCTCTCTTCGTCCGTTTCAAATACCAGAACCTTAGTTTTATTAGCATTCAAACGGAGACCTTTAATTTCACATTCCTCTTTCATACACGTGACTAATGCCTGCAGTTCTGCCTCTGATGGTGCAATAAGCACTGCATCATCAGCATACAGCAGACAATTTACTTTTATGTCACCCAATTTCACACCCATACAGCTATCTTTCAGTTTTTGTAAACAGCTGTCGAGATACAGTATGAACAGCCAGGAAGACATGACACAACCCTGTTTTACGCCCGTTTGGACGCTAAACATGGGTGACAGGTCATGCCCTACCCGCACACAGGCTTTACAGTCACAGTAAAGAGACTGCACAGCCCTTAGCAATCGACCATCCACACCATACCCCGGCAACAGTTCCCACATTTTCTTCCTTACAACCTTATCAAATGCTTTCTCAAGATCCACAAAACCACAGAAAATCTTCTGGTTAGCAGCCAGAAGCTTTTCCGTGATCATGCGGAGAGAAAACATTTAATCCGTGCATCCTCTTCCAGGTCTAAATCCGCATTGTGCCTCCCATAGAAATCTTTCAGATTTCTCTTGCATCCTACGTGTCAAAATCTTCGAGTAAACTTTACTTGCTAAACTGGTCAAACTGATCGCCCGATAGCACCCGCAGTCAAAATGTGAACCTTTACCTTTATATAAAAGCACAATGACTGCGAATCACCAATCACCCGGGACATCCCCCGTCCGCCAGCACAAATTGCACAGCAGATAAAAGCTGTCCCAGACGCGAGGCCCACCATACTTGACCATTTCAGCAGTAACTCTGTCTAGTCCCGCAGCCTTACCACATTTCAAACTTCAAATCGCACGTTCAATCCCTTTCATACTGATGACCTCAGTGTTATCGAGGTCCGGGTCTGGCGTACCAGTCACGGCGTCATCCCCGGATCCCACACTAAGATCATCACACGCATACATTTCTCTATAAAATTCGCTCCATCGCAGCATGACGTCCGATTTTTCTGAGAGGACGTCATTAGTTCTCGAAAGCACTTTGTTCATTCTTAAGGCCGTCGCACTACTTCGGGTCCTTCCAACCTCTTTCCAGAAGAGTTTGGAATTCTCCTTAAAGTTGTGCGACAACCTTTCGTCCGCTTCCATTCTACACCTTTCACGCACTTCCTCAATCAATGCTTTCGTGTGAACTTTCTGCAGCCTATATCTTTCTTTCATCTTCTCTCTCATATCCTTATCATTACTAGAGGCCAAGTAGTCTAACCATGCTTTCTTCTTCTTCTTTACAGCTTCTTTCACTTCATCATTCCACCATGCATCTCTTCTTTTACTACTGCCTCTTTTTATTGTTCCACACACTTCTTCCGCTGCACTTACCATTCCATCCCTAAGGTTCTGCCATGTTATTTCTACACATTCTTTTCTGCCATCGATGGTGTCAAGCTTTTCGGCTACCCTCGCATGATATTTGTCCCTAGTATCCGCTTCCTGAAACTTCCAGCTTCGGATGCGACAGACCGACTGTGGTTCTGTTACTGCCGTCCGGTAGCGCCAACCCGCGAACAGACCCCTAAATCTAGTAATCACTAGATAGTGATCCGTTCCCAGGTCAGCACCCCTGAATACTCGCGTATCCATCACCTGTTTTTGCAGTCGGTTATCCACCAGGAACATATCGATCATACTTCTCTCATTCTTTCGTTCTCTAGTATACATATGGATTTTCTTGTGATTAAACATAGTGTTTGTCACAAGAAGACCCTTTTCCTTGCATACCGCCAGTATAAGCTTGCCAGCATCATTAACCCTTTTATCGCCAAACTTTCCAAGTACCGACTTGTACCCTGGTCGAGCGGTGCCAACCCATCCATTCAAATCACCACATACAACAATTCTTTCGTTTCCCCTAGCCAAATCTAGAACTTCTCTTACATTCTCCCAAAACTCCTCCAGCTCAGCCCTGGACGACGAAGCTACCGGCGCATAAACAGCCAAAAGGAATAACTTCGTCAGTCCCAATTTAAAGCGAACCCAGAGAAGTCTTGAGTTCACAACCTTATATTCAGTCATAACATCGACCAACCGAGAAGACAGCAGCACCCCCACTCCCTGGCAGGCGTTCTCGCTCTCCGGGACTCCGGACCATAGAGCTAACGCCCCGCCAGGGAGCTCTTCAATACCACTGTCCTTCCGTTTGGTCTCCGACATACACACGACATCTAATTCTCTTTCTTTCATTATTTCGATCAACTCATTCGTCTTATCTCTCATGCCTCCTCTAACGTTCCACATGCCAACTCTGCACTCTGTCCTCCACCTTCCGCCGTGTCGGGCTGTGCGTGGCGGTCCCCATCGCCGCTTTGCGCGCTGCATTCCACACCAACGGGGACGAGCTGGTGTGCGTCGCCTTGGGGGGACGCCCTAACCCTCGTTGGCATGGGTGCGCAGCTGAGTAGAATTGCAGCCCTGAAAAGGGCTGGCAGAGGTCGCGACGAGCACGCTTCTACAATGACCCCCATGACATATAATAAATTTCTTTAAAGTATTTTCTACCCATACAGTTTTAGTAATTTGTACTAAAGCAGCCTTAATCATTTCGATAGCTCATAAAAAGCATTCCTATTGTCATATGTCTATAGGAGAAATTATAGTAAAAATATTACGTCTCAATTTATTCATTCATTCATTCACTACAACTTATCAAATGTCCACTGCTGAACATACATTTCCCCCATAGATAGATTCATAGGGGGGCAAGCCTGTTATTAACCGCAGTTTTTAGTATATTTTGTTGTTAACAGAAAAATGCTGCTGTTTTTCTTTTGTTTCATTTCCCTCAGTCGCCTGTTACGATACCCGCGGGAAGACATGGGGTAGTGGATTACACTACGCAGCCACTACACGGCGAGTTTTCGCAATAGTTACGTTAATATAAATTCAAAAGTTTATTTTTTCGTCCAGAGAGCGTCTTCGCCAGCAAGTGACCGTGATGGAAAGAGAAATCATGCTCAGCAACAAACACGCGGAAGCAGATAAAAGGGAGATTGAGAACCTAAACAGGGAGAAAGATATTTTGAACAAGACTGTTCAGAAGATACAGAGTAAGTTAACTGTGATAGTAACTGTGACATTTTCTACCGACTTCCACCAGGAGGAGGTACTCAGTTCGACAGTATGTTTATTTTTATGTGTGTGTGTGTTTTTTTATAGGAGTGGGGGCAACGAGCATATGGCTCACCTGTTGGTAAGTGATTACCGCCGCCTATGAACAATTGCAACATCAGGGGAATTGCAGATGCGTTGCCGGCCTTTTTAAAAGGAGTACGCTCTTTTTTTGAAGGTCCCTAATTCGTATCGGTCCGGAAAATCTCTGGTGGTAGTCGATTCCAAAAGGAATGTGTGCGAGGAAGAAAACTTCTTTTAAATCGCACAGTGGTGGACCGCCAGTCATCCACATGGTATGGATGGTATCGCGAGTTTTATAGCGATGTGCGATGGTGAAATTGTGCGGCTGGAATTAGTCCGAACAATTCCTCAGAGCACTCCAAACCTGCGCCTTGTAAAGTTGCAGGCGTTGTGCTGGCATGAAACTGTCCCGCTCTGCTGAGCACGCCAAGCTTTTTAGAGGCCAATTCGGCCTTCTCTTCCAAGTGACCACGAAACTGCACGTCATTCGATATGTCGACGCCGAAGATTCCGATACTGGCTGAGGCAATAAGGGGGTTTTTTTTTATAGGATAGGGTGAAAAACGAGCACACAGTCCACCTGATGGTAAGTGGTTGCTGTGGCCCATAGACATCTACATTTATCCTCGTTTGCGAATGCAGATGCGTTGTCATCCGTGAGGGCTATATTATGGATGACTATGATGACCTCTTTTCCAGTAAAAAGAGTCTCCGGTTCTCTACACTCACCATACGAAACACAGCTTTTTATAAATAGTTTTTATAATCGCGAACAGATGAAGCGCTGGAGAACCTGCAAATGTTGGCCCTGCAGGAGCAGAGGCGCAAGCAGCTGGAGCACGAGCTGCAGGTGCACGCCGCGCAGACGAACAAGCAACGCCTCACTATCCGACAGCTGGAGAAGGACAAGGACAGGTAACACCTTTTAATGGAGTCTTTATTAATAGGAAAGGTAAGTTCCAATTGTTTAACTCTACGGATACAGTCGTGGTATTATCACCATTATTAGTCCACTGCTGAACATTGGCCTCCCCCAAGGAATGCCACAAAGCACCATCCAAAGCCACCTGAATCCGTCGACTTCTTGCATCTCTTACCAGGTCGTCACTCCATCTGGTGGGGGGCCACCTTACACTTTACTTACCTTTACGAAGCCGCAACTTCTGATCCTTTCTTACCCATTATTACGTGCTTCGCTTAAATTAAATACAAAGAATTAAATTGATGGACTGTGTTCAACACTTTTTACATTTATAATGCCGCATTATAGCTGCAGTAAACACAGTAAGGCCTTTAAAGACACGCCATCGTCGGTAAAACGACACATGTTTCACCTCTAAACAAGGCAAGTGAAATTGTACACTACACTGCGGTGTAGTCAGTGCACGTAATTAAAGCAAGGCGGGAAGTGCTCTTCAAACTAAGAAATGCCCAAATACTTTTTAAGATGCCGTTAAGTTTCGTGCTGTCTCTGTCACTTTAAGTCTTTAAGACAAAGTGACTGTGACACCAAGAGATTTAACGACATCTTATAATCCACGACTTTTTCTGCCACCAGGGCGGCGCCACTTTACAATGAGGTAAAATATTTAGTAGGGACGATAATTTCTTAGGAAAATGTAAACTTTAATGCCTCTTCTGTATTATTGTTTATATTTTATATTAATTAGATTAGAAATGAATAAACCTAACTATAAATATAACTAAAAGTAAAAAATTTAAAAAAAGAGTTGTAAAGTTCAACAAATTAATGATCAAATCAATGTTAATAGTAACTGAACTAGCGGAAACTGATAAACTATTATTTAAAACTAATTTCTCAATTAACTGATATTGTGTAACAGGAAACTTTACCTCAGTCGCAACTAGCGACGTCTGGTGAGTGGAATATTATAAGCCCTCATTTAGTAGTGTTTGAGTATTTGACCATAAGACACACACACACACACACACACACATTTTATTTCATTTTATTACGTAGACCTTAACTAATTAATTTTAACATCTTTAATATTCTACTATTATAAGCTCGGGGGCTAATTGTTTATATATAAATAAACAATTTTGAAATTTCTATCTGCCTGTTTAGTCTACCTGTCCGATCCGAGCCAATCTTCAAAATGGCTGAACCGATTGTGAATGTGATGAAACTTCACGAATCGATAGAGAGCAATGCCGGGATTGATCTTGATTACCAACACTTATTAAGTGGCGAAGCTTGCGAAGTCACTTATTGATTTCACGATGTCTGTCCGTCTGTCCGTCTGTTCCACGATTATCTCGAGAACGGTTTTGAATTTTCAAATTCTGTTTTCAGCAATCGATTACTGATATTTTAAAACTGATTGCTCAACGGCAACCGTTAGAAACCGCTAAAAAACCTGATTGCTTCGCCACTTTGCTATGCTGTTAGCTTGCTAGGTTTTTTATCCGAAAAACGTGCAGAATATTAATGGTTTTGATGATTATCTCATAAACTATAAGAGATATACTATTAAAAAGTTTTGAACAAAACTATTTTGATCTGAGACTCTTTAAAAAAAAAGTCTTTAAAATACTTTATATTCTAACTTTTATAAATAATTAATAGAATAACAAAAAGAAAACTGAGCTGTGCTCTTTTATAGGATATGGTGACAAACGAGCACACAGTCCACCTGAAGGTAAGTGGTTGCTGTGGCCCATAGACATCTACATCTATCCTCGTTTGCGAATCAAAATGCAGATGCGTTGTCACCTGTGAGGACTAAGATGGAACGCCTCTTATCCTGGTAAAAAGGGTCTCCGGTTCTCTATACTCACTATACGAAACACAGCAACATGAAGCTGCTATTTTACGCTGGTATTCTGTGAGAGCGTGGTCCTTCCCCGGTCGAGCCGACCCATTCGTGCTACAACTATACTACTAATATAGCGTGCTACAACTATACTACTAATATAGCGTGCTACAACTATACTACTAATATAGCTACTGGCTCTACCACGCAAAAAATTCTTTGATGATTGAAATACTTGCCCTTACTTTAAGTTCTACACTGGCGTAGTAGTAGTAGTAGTAGGCGCAGGCACACTACGTAAAAGCTAGTACCTATACATACATGATGATGATAATGATAATTATGACAATGATGGTTTTCGTGTGATGGTTGTTTGTAATTCCCACAGCCTAATAGACTCTTATTTAAAAAAAAACCTTTATTAACACCTCGTATGTATTTTATATTCGCATGGGTTGTAAATAGTAGTTACAATTTGTTAAACCAGTTGTGCAGACATGCCAGTTACCCGTCAATAACTTATAATTTAATTATTAACATAACTAAAAAACTGACGTTTACTTGTCACTCCTATGACTGATTTGACACTGGCAGAATTCTATCAAGAGAAGCCATAATTTAAAAGAAGAAGAAAACTGACGTTGAATGTGTATAAAACTGAAAAAACTTAAAAAAAAATATTTTGTTCGCAGAATGTTAGAAGAAACGATTGCCCTCAATGACAAAATTGATGAAACCACAGGTACGAATGAATATTGTTTATTGTTGCTTTTGAACTGAAAACTTCTTTAGGTTTTCGGCGATTTTGGGATGGGTAAAATCTTATAAGTTCGCGTCACCACTATGCTGCAGCCATTGAGTTATATGTACTACGTACTAGAGAAGCCATTCCGAACATTGACTATGTTCAACTGAACTGTAGTGCAGTCCATACAAACTAAATATTGTAAATTGAAGATTTGTGAATTCCATAAAATAATTATTATTACATTTTATTTAGAAATATGTTTGTTTAGATTAAATTAAGATATTTTATATTAAATTCTTATATTTATTTTATATTAATATCTTATTTTATATTTATTTAAAGTCTTCGCGCATGCGGTGGAATAGTAGTCACAGTCGCAGTAGTACATAGAGTAGGACACAATTTTTGTTCGGAATGGCTTCTCTAGTACGTAGTACATATAACTCAATGGCTGCAGCAGTTAATATTATAAATGTATATCAACTGTTATGACAACATTTATATTTTGTACTGGCCTTCCCTTTAAATAAACCATATAATGCCTACAGATCGACGTTTATGAATGTGTGCGTGCGCAGTAAAGTCAGTTAAAATATTTTACCTATATATTTCTTTTATACTCAAAATGCATTACCACGCATTTTGAGTATAAAAGATAAAGAGGACAGAATATTTGAATTTTTTTCAATTGCTTTTTCTTCAACATTTGCCTGTATTACTTATTCTGTATCTTCTCTGCAAATTTGGCCGATTATTGCAAAATAACCCTGTATAATTGTTGGTCGGAGTTCCGAAAAATCTGAAAACTTCTAGAAGACTAATAATGTTAATGATGTTAATTTACAAATGTTAAAATTATAATTTTTAATACTACAAGTAATTTTAAAATACAAAAAAAAATACTGGTTTTTAGTTTTGACAATTCTGTCGGTAATCCATAATGACTGCAATTTTTTTTTTAGTTACAATTGACAGTGTTCTTTAAATAGTTTTCTTTGTGAATTTATTATTGTTATATAATGCAATTACGCCATATCTTTAGATAGGTGACAGCGAGCACTGTAGTGATGGCGAAAGAGACTACATCGCCGCCCAACCCAACCCAATAGGAAATGCCATAATAATCTCATGCCTTCCAATAGATGGCAGCACAACCATCCTGTTGTGCCAAAAAGACTGCCATGCAGTGGATGATATGAATGACAAGTTCGTGGAAACTGTCGAAGCTAAGTTCTGCAAGTACTCAACACAATATCAACACAACGCCGGCTATACGAGTATAGCTCGACGAACCGATAATCGATGGGGAAGAAAGGTTCTCGAGTGGCAGCCTCGTACCAGTAGGCGAAGTGTGGAACGGCCCCACACTAGACGGTGTGACGTCCTGGTAAGATATGGAAGTCAATGGATACAGATGGATCGAGATCGTGCTGTGGCATTCCTTAGGGGGAGGGGGGGGCTATGTTCAGCAATGGATTTAAATAAAACTAACTTTTACGGATTTTATTGCGTATATTATACGTGGTACAGCCATATTAATTGTATAGTTGTAGCACGAATGCTCGACCGGTGAAAGACCACGCTCTCACAGAATACCAGCGTAAAATAGCAGTTTAATGCTGCTGTGTATCGTATGGTGAGTGTAGAGAAGCAGAGATCCTTTTTACTCGAAAAGAGGCATTCTATTTTAGTCCTCACGGCTGACAACGCATCTACATTTTGATTCGCAAACGAGGATACATGTAGATGTCTATGGGCCACAGCAACCACTTACCATCAGGTGTACTGTGTGCTCGCTTATTCTATAAAAAAAATATATTAACTTATTTTAGGTGTTCGACTCGGCTACCTCCAGATTAAAACTATTAATTTTTGTTGCGATCTACGCAGTATGAACATATAATATTTTGAAGTCTTGCAGTGGTAATCTTGGGTTTGGATTTAATTTTATTAATTATAGGATCCCAAGCAGATGGTAGCACCCGGCCATCTTCTTCATTTAAATTGGATGTTTCTTGATTTAAATAGCCTCGCGAATCATCCTTGGAAGGAATTGGTGTATAAGAAATCATTATTCAGCAATGTACTTGTGAAACTCTGTATAATAATAATGACGATAACCATGTTGTTTATGCTACGAAAGTACTCAGAACAACGTCCAATGTGCGCGACGTCGTTTCCATAACAGTTACGCTTGGCAGACGATACTGCGAGTGCCAATTCGCCTGCCAAGCTTAAGGAAACCGGTTAAGGAAAATTCAGCCTACCACCGAATAGGTCTAACAAGATGAGAAGATTGAATACCTATTGATTATTTGGTTGGTTCAATGATTGTGATCATTACTTCCTACTATAATAGAGGCTCCAGTCCAGCAGTGAAAGGGTTGTAATGTTAATAATGTTCCATAATTGCAGAGGAGGTCCGTCTCCGCACCGCCGACATTTTGGACTTGAAAAAGGCGCTCCGAGACGAAGGCATCAATTCGCGCAAGCTCTCCGTCTCTCTCGACGCGACTCGAACTGAGAGGAACATGCTGCACAAAAACTATACGGAGGCTCTCGATGAGATACAGGATCTCAAACAGAAACAGAAGGTGAGGATGGATATTCTCTCGGCAACTTCAACAATGGCAACAACTGCTGAGTTATTTACTACTGGAAGTATTTAGCGCAAGACGAGAAGTGGAGTTCAAGAAGAGAAGTTTTTTTTTTTATAGAAGTGGGGGCAAACGAGCATACGGCTCACCTGATGGTAAGTGACTACAGCCGCCCATGAACAACCGCAACACCGGGGGAATTGCAGAAGCGTGCCGGCCTTTTAGAAAGGTGTAAGCTCTTTTCTTGAAGGTCCCTAAGTCGTATCGGTCCGGAAAAGTCGTGAAATATTATTTAAAAAAAATATCAAATTGTATTGTTTCAATATATTATTAAGAAGTAGGTATTTAGAATGACACTTACGTTTATTCGCGCTGTATGCATATACAAACAACAGATTTGGCACCTACATTTCTGATGTACACTCATATCATTTAGGATACATTAATTGCTTGTTATCATTTTATGTCGCAAATTTTTGACAGTTTATTTCCGCCATATTTATTATTTGAGTAGGTATTTTTAGTCTTAATAGATATATCTAAATGCATAAAATAGTGTCTGAAGATTTTATTCAGTTAAGTCAAGTTATTTACAGTAGCGGCCCGGAGTCAGAAAACTGGCGGTGTTTCACCCACGTGCCTGAGATGGCATGTATAGCCGTTGATCTTTCGCCTAATTCTCATCCTCTATGAGTCCCATCAGAACATGAGTGTGAGGGAATAGACGAATAGAGAGCGCACCTATGCTTGCGCATTCACTCGAGCATTGGAATCCTATCCTGCGCAGATGGCTAGTATACCATCACAGTGACCGAAATTCAGTCTGGAAGATATTATTATAAACACGGTGGTGGAAAGAAGATAAAAAGGGATTGCTCTTTCCTGTTTGAACTTGGTTAAAAATATCCATGGCCAACATCACATCGACTATTATCTCACATGCCACTTTTTTATAATTATAATATATATTTTGAACTATACTCCCCATTTTTACATTGCTACAGATGCTAGCTTACCAGATAGAACAATTAAAAGAAGACATCACCGGCAAGGAGACGGGTCTGAAGACGTGCGAGGGCATGCTAGCGAAGTGCAACAAAAAGAACGAGCAGCTACGAACCGAAGTGCAAGCTGTCACAGCAAAGTTGTCTGAAGCGAAAGCCGACATCACTGCGCTCAGACAGGAGGAGGCGCGACTGAACAGAATTATTCAGGTACGCCTTAAGACTTAACTTTTTTTTGATCAAATGAAGTATTAATTCGAATAATTATTCATTATTAATCACTTGCATTTTTTATCAAGACACTTATCATCAACATTAAATACTTTTATTAATATAATTAGCACATATAAATTAGGTTATATAGGCGCACTTTACAACCATCGCGCGCGTTCATTGGTCAAATCAAATAGCGCGCGTTTCCTCGGCTTCTTGTTACACACTTCCGTCCCTTTTCACAAAATCACTCCCACAAATTGCGGGAAAACGACAGGAAAGATTTACACATCAAAAAATTATTCTGGTGTGACTTAACACAATTATTCAAGTGTGACTTAACTTAATTATACAAGACTTAAAGAATTATTCGGTGAACAGAATACCAGCATAAAATAGCAGCTTAACGCTGCTGTGTTTCGTATTGTGAGTGTAGGGTACCGGAGACTGAAACTCCTTAATGGAAATGAGGCATTCCATCTTAGTCCTCACAAGTGACAACGCATCTGCATTTTCATTCATAGTCGAGGATAGATGTAGATGTCTATGGGCCACAGCAACCACTTACCATCAGGTGGACTGTGTGCTCGTTTGTTATCCGCACCCTATTAAAAACCCTAGCTAAAGCAGTAGTAAGTTACGTCTTCAATCCTACATTACTTTGCTACATTTACACCTATAAAAAGTATTTGAGAATGTATACACTCTGCAACTCAATATGAGATTAAAAATAAAGAACCTTTTTTTCGTCATGAATAAATATGGGAGGGCATACCCGCCTCACAGGGAGAATGGGTTACGTCTGACTAGCGCCAAATAAAATCCCATGGTCTTCCACCTTCACTGTATATAGGCCGGGCCACATGAACACCTTCGCACACATCCGGGGCCCCACCAGTAAATAAAGAACTTACTTATTCTATCTTCCCTTAGTTTAATTAACATAGGAACTATAATAACCTTAATCAATTCACCATAGGAAAGTGATGCTGGCCGGGCGAAGCTAATGAAGGAGTTGGAGGGTCTGATGAACGAACGCGATGTAATCGGCGCCCAGTTGGTGAGAAGGAATGATGAGATATCGCTGCTGTATGAGAAGATTCGGATACTGGAGGTCACACTCCATAGAGGTAAAAAAACTTAATTTGTTGCCATGTTTAACGTAGCAAGCTGTCCAGTAAAAAGAAATTAAAAAAATTGAGATAAACGATGTCATAGAGAACGATATTCTTACTACGGTATGTCCACCGTGTAGTGAGGATGGAAGAGGCGACAAATGGAGACAGAGACCAACAGCGGTTGGCACCAGCGTCTTTTTAATAATAATTAGAAATTAAAAAACTCCAGGCGGGCGGGTTGGCTGCCTGCCAAGTGTGGCAACTAAGACAAACAATCCCCCTTAATTTAGCAACTAAAGGGGAGTCGTATGTTCAACAGTCAACTTCGACAGGACGTATGGTAATGACTGATAATGATGATGATGATGATGTTAGAAGAGTGATAAAAGAACGCACAGTCCACTTGGTGGTAAGTTTTTTTTATAGTATAGTGTGACAAACGAGCCCACATTCCACCTGATGGTAAGTGGTTGCTGTGACCCATAGGCATCTACATTTATCCTCAATAAAGAATCGAAATGCAGATGCGTCGTCACCCGTGAGGACTAAGATGGAATGCCTCTTTTCCAGTAAAATGGTTCTCCGGTTCTCTACACTCATCATGCGAAACACAGCAATGTCAAGCTGCCATTTTACGCTGGTATTCTGTGAGATGTGTGAAGTGGATGCTAAAGCCCATAGATACTACAATTATCCTCGATCAAGATACTCTATACCTCAATCTTCAGGGGTGATAAAGCCTATTTATATCTGTTTACCAGTAAAAAGGATCTCTAGTTCTCTACGTTCACTATATCATTACACATAATACAACAGCAATATTCTGCTTTTCACACTGGCGTTCTGTGCAAGTGTGTTACTTCCCCGGTTGAACCATTGGTACTGCAGCCGTAGTAGGTATACTGCAGCCTGCAGCATGGCTCTACGTAGAAAAATTTCGAAATTGTAAAAAAATTGGAAGAGCCAGTAGTTATCAAATCACTTGACTAGATTGTTTTATTTATTTATAGGGGAGCGTCAATATGAGCAACGAGTGGAAGACATCCGTCTACTTCGCCTGGAGATCATACGACTGCGCAAGGAGAAGAACCTACTGTCAAAGGGCATAGAGAATATGACAGATTTAAGACTAGAGGTTCGTTCCTTTTATCATTAGCCTTTTTATTAAAGAAATAATTGTTTAAAAATAATTTGACAGCTCCGTGGCGCAGTCGGATTGCTATGATTTGCAGCGCTGAGAGAGTCGAGTTCGATTCCCGTATGGAACAAACATTTGTATGTCCTACATATAATTGTTCCGGGTCCAGCTGTTTGTCCTTGTGAAATTTATGTATGTAAACTATACAGGAAAAGATCCTAGTGGTGTAATGTTTTTAAAAAATAATAATGCGCAGACATACTGAGCTTCCTTAAACTTTTTACTTATGTATTTAATGTATTTTATGAGGTTAATTGTGACTGTCACGAAAATCGTCAGTTTGAGAATTTCTTGCCACTTCTCCTCACAAGTTCGCCCGCAGTAGGATTTTGTTGAAGTGATGGTGTAGCTTCCGTGACTTTTAAAGAGTGCTTTGTAAAGGCTAATTTAAAGGAGACTACTAAACATATTAATTTAGACGGTCCTCCGAAGTAAGCACCGACTGGCATTTAATTCCCTGACACTGAACAAAAGGTTTGGCAATGCTGTTTCCCGTTAGCTACCTAACCTGTCTGTTGCCAAACCACTAAAACATTCCTTTCTTTATTGCTACACCTGCGTTGTCATTTAACCACTCCAAGAATTGACTTATAATAATTCCTGGAGAATTCAATAAATAAAAAATAAATAAGTAAATATAATTAATACAGTATAACAGTGTATTAGCAATTTCATTTCTCAAGGAAAAGTCACATACATGTGCCTAACCCGTTCGTGATGTAATCTGCCCAACAAACTAGGTTCTGTAGACCAACAAATGGCTCTATTAAAAAATACCAAACCCCAAACCAGATTCATTATATTACTCACTTTACCCGTGCTGGCCCAGTCGTTTGCCCTGCTTGGTTAGTCTGGGTAAATTTTCGCACTGCTCGTAGCTGCGTCAATTAACAAATATCTTGTAAAATATTCGTCTTCTTGTGGAATAAAAACTTGTTTAATTTTTGAATAAAAATTTCGTAAAACATTTACTTAGGTGTTTATTGTTATTTAAAATTATATAATGCGATAGACGACAAATACCATAAGTTTCCTGAAGATCCATTGGGCATAGGCCTTCATTGATTTTGACGAGGGTTTTGAAGCACAGAAGTACACTTGTCTGACCCAATGCGTGGAGGTAGAATATGTAGGTTTCCTCGCTATCTTTACTTCACTGCGAATAAAAAACTAAATCAGCACTAAAAATTGCAATTAACAATTTGATTAGTATCCGCCTCGATCGAATATTTTTACTCATATTTTTTTGCATTTTCGGTGAGCGTTTACCGCCTAAGGAATAATAGTAGGTATAGAATGTTAATCAAAATATTGTGTTAACAGGTGTTTAACCTAGAACGCGAGCTGGGACGATCTAGACTCCGCGTACGAGCCCTGGAGGAAGCTCTGGAGACGCCGCTCAACGTGCACCGCTGGAGGAAGCTGCAGGGAACCGATCCCGAAACTGTGAGGCTCACACAGAAGCTCACGCTCACGCAGAAGTAAGTACACGGCTTAATTCATACTTGCGATCTCACTTGGTGAAACGTATATTTATCATAGTATCTTCCAGATCAAAATTAAATTCACAAAAATTGCATCAATCTAAGTCAGGTGCAAAGAGGGATTCCAACAAATAAGGCCCTATCTCGGTTTCGGCAGTATTTTCTAAAATATTTGAAATATTTAGTTAAATAGGTTGTAGGTTGTAGGTAAGTGCAACCCAAGCCCAATTTTTATTTAACCGCCAATATAGTTTTAGACTACATTATTCAAATTCAAATACATTATTACCTGGCATAGAGTTAAATACTAAAATCAGAACTAACATCGATACAAAAAATATACTGGGTTACTCACTCTTCTGTTAATAACATTCACATATTGGAATCAATAACAATGCGTACCGGATTTCCAAATCACATCTCAATAATTGATTTGGAATATTAAAACCGGCATACCGAAATATCAGAGTTCTCCTAAGCCAACTTATGGACTACCCCAAGGAACCATACTCGAACCTTTGTTATTCCGTCGGCCAATCAATTTGATATAGATTTACAATAAATTACCTTAATAAATTTAATGTCTAATAAAATTACAATCTATAACAACAAACAGTAATTAAAAAACCGACTGCGTAAAAAAGTTCATTAAAGGAGAAAAATTTTATTGACCTTGAAAGCTTGAAACAAAATTTATTGAAATTGATTGGGGGCTCGTGCCCAGCAGTTGGACGTATAAAGACTGTAATTTAACTTGTACTTTTTTAACATAGTATGTAGGGGGAGGGGCAGCCTTGACTGCCTCGTTAGTCTAGATCAGTGATTTCCAACCAGTGGTCCACGGACCACCAGTAGTCCGCAAGAGCTTAAATATGGTCCAAGAAAGATTTAAATATTTTAGCTACCAATCATTTTAAATAACACATTTATGTCACGTTAGTAAGTACCTAACTAGCTTTTCTAATAAATACACAAATAATGCTGTTAATGAATGCTTCTTTTCAGTTTATTATATTAAAAAATTATGATAAAAGTTGTGATTATATTTTATTTTTAGATTAACACTGTTTCTTCTTTCACCTTTTGGTCCCTGCTAACTACAATAAAATCAAAATAGTCTTAAAATTAGAATACAAATATTTTTTTTAATAAAATAAAAATATATTGGTCGAGTTTTAAAAAAAAAGTTATTTCTATAGGTTTGAATACTGATCCTGATAACGTACTTAACGGGAACCACAGGGTTTTTGTTACATGTTGTATACGAAAAAGAAGGATTCAGTTCATTCTGTAGACTGAGCACGAGTTCAACACAAATTAAATGAACGCACGAAGTCGTTAAAATCTCACCCGAGTCAAAACCTTCGACGTCACAAACAAATCGCTTGTGTCTTACTGCTCCAAGTGATACCCACAGAGTACACGGTGATACCATTCTTATTTGCACTTGGGATTGTGATTATTGAAAATGGCAGTGTTTAACCCTCATGCCTTGAAAAGTACGAAAATTCGTTGGCGCTGCGCCTGATCTCTCTCTTTCCGGTCGTGTCGGATTGCCGTCCTATTGTACTATGCAAGTGAGGGAATAGAGTGCATCTGTACTTGCACATACACTTCGACAATATAACCCTGTCCTGCGCAGATGGCTACTCACCGCTGCAGCTAGCCGCCGTGACCGAAATTCTGTCTGGAGGACATTAGGTATTAGGTATCAGGTCGTAACTCAATCTAGTGGGGGACCGCCTCATACTTCAGAGCCTTTTTTCCACATCGATTGCCGGTTTTTCGAGGTCATTCACGCAGAGAAATTTCGAGCAAAGTCCTATCCCTAACTCGCTGAGCGACTTTGAGCTTCCTCATACGGCCATACTGGCAACACATTAGTTTTGTTTATGATATATTTACCTAGAACAAACTGTCCGAATTGGTAAATCAAACTGCGATTGAGAAGTCAATTAATAAATCTAATTCTGTTGGGCGGTTTTTAGGCGTCTTTTCGTCAAGTATACTTTAAAACTTGGAGACAATAGTTGCACAAAGTTAATTAAAATAAAATAAAATTTATAGAAAAGTACTGGCCCAGAGCGAAATGCTGGTGCTTAAGGACCGCGAGCTCAAAGAGACGAAAAATCTTTACGGTGCAGTCAAAGACATGCTCGCGTTACAACCCAGTCCTGAGATACAGGTAAGTCGATACACCCATTTTTATGACGCAGTAGGACCTTCTTAGCATTTGATCCTCACTCATAGTGCTCATAGTATTACAATGGCGAGGAAAAATTTTTTGCACGTCCTACACAACCTACTTCAAGTTAGGGTGTTAACACACCAATCGATGGATCGTCGATGGTGGAATGGATTAGTCGACATACATCAAATCAAAGTTTCTACCACACCGCTTGATTATTCGAGAATGCGCCCCGCTTCACCGACCGCTCCCTATCGTCACCCGCCACCGACTGGGACGCAGTCGCGCGCTAGCTATCCGACCTGTGTTCAGTACTTCAGTATTCAATAGTATCTCGTTCGAGATATTACGGAGCCCACAACCACATCAATTAGTTGTCGATCGACGTCGATCCATGATTGAACGTTTTATCAACTAGTATCCGTAGATCAACTAAAGCTACCACACCAATCGATCGACGTCGATCAATGGCAAGCACCCTTAGTGCGCTATGGAAAATAAAGTGTCACCTTGACAGTTTAATTCTTAACGTTCATCATGTGAATTCTTTAGTTAGTTCTTGTTGTTCGTTATCTCTATATCTCGATCTCTAAAGCTACCATGAAGCCGCTGGCTCGTCAAGATTCAGCATTCAGTGTTTCGCTTTGAAAAGTGATATTACATAATTGATTTTTTGATAGGCGGTCTGTAACTGTACCCGGCCACAATCATCAAATAATTTTAAGTTTTACTTATAAAAGAGCTTGAAATAGAGACGTCAAAACCATAGGTCCATAGAAAGAGTATAATAAGTATTTACAGGAATACCACCACAACCCTTACTCATCTGGGTTGAGACGACCCAATGTAGAAATGTTATCACAACCATTTAAAGTAATATAAAAATTGCAATTTCAGCAAACTTTAGTTCGAACACAGCGTGCACTGGCGCAAAGAACCACGAAAATGAAATGCTTGGTTGCAGGTAAGTTCATTTCATTTTCATCAGTGTTGTGTATATAACAACACTTCTTCTGCTATCAAACAGCACAGCTGCTTGCACTACTGTCCGGCTGAAGGGAATATAGCCCGTATAATTCTATACTGTGACACATTCCATCTTAGTCCTCAGAGGTGACAACTAGACTCTAAGCCTTCTTTATTTGAAATTGGCTACAGGTGTCCATGGACTGCAGTAGTCACTTACCATCTGGATAACCGTCAGTTCGTTTGTAACATCAGTTTTACAAAATAAAAATAATAAAACAATTGTATAGTAGCTCTAAGTGCACAGTTTATTAAAAAATTAATTTTTAATTGCCTAATCTGTGTATATAAATAAAATTGAAGTGTCTGTCTGTAACATTGAAATAACTGCCTTTTATTGAGCTCGGGTGATTATTTGCAGGTTATTTTTTATAGAATAACGGTGACAAATAAACAGTCCATCTGATGGTAATTAGATGCTATCTATAATCAAAATGCAGATGCATTGTCACTAGGACATCGGAACCAGCTTTTAGGGATCACGAAAAGAACCGGTTCGAAAATTTAAAACCCAGTTGTTACGGTTCCTTTACAAAATTTATTAAAAAGTATATCACTGCAATGTAGTTGTATAAAAAACGTGATTTTTAATCATTCCTGCTATTTATGGAAAACAGTATGATCTGTAATGATATTTTATTTATTTTGTTTGAATGGTTGGTTTTTATTTATTAATACATAAAATTTAAGTAATGTTAAATAACCGTTTACATGCAATTGTAATATGAATGTTCCTAGTTAGTGAGATGTTTGATTTGTTTTATATTTAATTAGAAAGAAACCATTGCAAGTATTATTTGAACAATTACTTTTAAAAATACTTTATTTTAAACATATATAGAGTCTGATCATTTATAACATTTAGATAGGTACTTACTTAATATTCTATTACGACTCACAAATGATTGTTACCAAAACACTTGAAAAGGCTTTAAAAATAATAAATAGTACCTACGATTTGCAATAACCTGTTTTATTTGTGAATAAGATTATAACATTGTTATTCACATTGAACGAAAGTAGCTTTCTACCTAAAAGAAAGAAAAGAACCGGGTACCCGATTCCTGCAAAAGTTTGGAACCGGTTCCTGCAAAGGGACCGATTTTCAATGCTACTATTTACGCTGGTATTATGTGAGAGCGTGGTCCTTCCCCGGTCGAGCCGACCTATTCATGTTACAACTATAACATATCTGCAGCATGGCTTTACCACATAGAAAATTTTTGTCTATCGATCCACAGGGACTAATGTTCGGAATGGCTGAACCAATTGTCATAAAACTTTAAGAAGAGAGAACAGCGTGATATAAGCTATAGTTTATCCAAAAAAACTTGGGAGAATATTTTTGTGAGATTACTAAAAAAAATCTAAATGATGCCACATTAATAGTTCCTAACCAAGCGAAAACGGGGGTGGGTCGCTAGTTTTAAATATTAATCTCGATGAAGTTATTATAACTTTAATATATTATATTTGGGCCTTTTCCCCATAACTACCCTCAAATATAATAAATATTAATTCCAAAAACCCAACATGGATATGACCTGGTCGGTACCATAGCTAGATAAAATAAAAAATATATAGACTCCTAGCAGGGTCATTAGTTGCCTTTAAGTCTATCTTTTCGATCATAGATTCCTTAATTTCAGAGCTAGGAATGCGCGAACGTCAAGTATCTGACCTTCGACGAGAGTTGGATCGCGCGAATGGAGATTTGAACTCATTTAAACAGCGCTACTACGAGATGAAGCGGGCGCTGGACGCTGATGAGGCGCGCAGACTCCGCGTCGCAACACCGCTCCCAATAACTACCTCTCATGCTCAAGAAACACCCAGCTAACATTTACCTTCACAACTAACCATCTTACATACTTTAATGCTAGGGCGACACATGCGCTGTCACACTGATATACACCTAAGAAGTTATACTTTACACGCTGTAACTTTTTGTAAAAATAAATATTTTCTCTTTGGAATATATTGCATTATAATATCAAGGCAGCGGCTGCTAAACTTTTTTTTTTCATTCCCGTGCAAAGTAGCATTATCAAGTCTACGAAATGTCGAATACAGTTTAAATGAAATACACAAACAGAGTCACAGCCAATGCAGCAATGGTCGTTACGTTTGCGTGTATCGGGTAATGGTGTGAAGTTTCATGACAGACGCAAATGTGGACCCAGCATTATACGTACACCACGTTGATCTATGATTACCAATAATAAAGTTACGCATTCACGCATATATGTAACTGAATTATGCCAAAATATATAGCTTAACTATATAGTATAACAAATACTGAAACCAATTAATCTGGGGTTGTGTTTGTATTCTCAAAAGTTACTCACTGAAAAATTCAAAGGTTTATTCAAACTAAGAAATAATCTTATTAGAGACAAAAGCGAAAGAGTTAATTAGTTTAGTAATAGTTTTCTAGCTGATATTTACATATGAATCATTATATTTTGTCTGTGATTATCGACTACATATGATTTACATTTTAATATATTGAGTATACAGTCTACCCCATAGGATTTGCCTTAAATACTTGTTTACTTTATATGAAATTAGCACAAATTATATCACTAACAGCAGCAATGAAACATTTTTCTTAGATAGTTATGGATACACGAACATTATCTCTTTTTTATGTACATAATATGTGGCCCATTCTTCTCAAATAACGTTAAACAAAAAAGCTTGAAAAAATCTGTTAATTCAAGATTTAAAAAATATAGTTTTAATTTTTGGGTAAAAATTGTATATGTATTTTGTTTTTGTTGATTTATGAATATGTACCAGATTCCTTTTTATTAATGATTGATTACTAGAATTTACTTCTTTTGAGGTATTTTAATGTATTAAATAAAACACAGAAATAATTAATCCGAAAACAATAGTTTTATTTAAGAACTTTCACTTTCTCATAAAATATACACATTGTTTTGTCATTAAACTAAACTGTAAGTAAATACTAATTTTAAATACCAATTCTCACGATTTTCCAAACAGGTGGCTACTGGGACTTGCCCGCTATTGCATTTCCAATTCATAAAATTTAACCACTTATTGGTGTTTGCTCATGTACAAATCCTTTACTTAAACTCTATTTAGAAAAAAAAAATGTAATCAAACAAAAGCGTGATTTTGTACATTTCAAAAAAATACATGAACTCCTGTTTTCATTAATAAAGTGTGATGATAGAATTCTACAGTCCTCTTGTTGATAACTTAAAAATAACAGTTCGAATGCATGCATTTGGAGTAAGGACCTGGGTTTGGTGCTCGGTAAAATGCGTTAAAATGCTTTCCACAGCTGGGCCTTTACTAAACTTTTCTAGTTTCCATTCTATACATATATATAGAGGCTCGACCGAGTGATATACCATTAAATCAAGCTTTATGCTTTACTTACATAGCCAAATATCTTCAGTGGTCTCATAGCATCTTTTATAAAACATAAGGTATTTTTGATAAAAAATCTCCATATTAAAATATATATCAAAATAATATAATATGCCTTTCATGGTATATTACATGAAGTATTTCAATTTCAATTAAAAATCTTAATTTTTCTAATAGTACCTAAAAACGAACTTGTACAAATTTTTAAACAGTTGAATGTTTAAAAAGTTCTCATAAAATCCCCAATTATAACTTTTCACATAAAACACCTATGACACTATTTACCTAGTCACACTTCTCAAAACATACATGCCTCCACTTTATTTGTGTAAGAACAACAAACAATTTATACCCACAGCACACATGTCCACATTCTATTATTGCATGGCAACTACATATGCGCAGCCTTAATGAACTACGAATCTATAAACTTATATAGCAACTTGCTAACATAACATCAAATGGAATATTAATTTTTTTATAACTGGCTTTACGGCTCTGGGTTCTAGCTCTTCTGAACCTGAAGTTACAATGTATAATTATCCTTCATAGTACACTGCTTCACAATATGTTGATGCGTCACATTGTGCAGCTCTTGGGAGATTGTGACGGTAACTTGAGCCAGCAGACAGCTGACAGTTGGCAATGATATCTCAAGGCGCCTAAGCAGACAGACACCTTATCTTGAGAATCACATCACCATCAGAGCACTTGTTTCACCGTTTCCACTAATAATTCACATGTGCAGACATTTAATACACAAAATCCCACCAGTTTTACATATGAAAATCCACTTGAAACCGTTATTTAAACAATAATACAGGAGCAGCAAACCGCCGCCGGTCAAGTTCCCACCAAAACCCCCATGGAATATTAAAATGTCCTTAATCACTCGGTCGAGTCTCATTGGTATTACGAGTATAGCAAGGATTACATTTTCAAAACTGCCTTATCAAATTATACAAATATAAACATATGTTAAAGAGAAGAAACTTGTAATAAAATGCTTTCTATAATTTCAATGTCCATAAGCAAGGAAATAGCAAATGTCATAGACAATATAAACAACAAAATAATCCTTAGCCATACTCGTGACTAATGCATCTGAACACCACCAGCCCCTCAATCAACCCGTCCACACACACATCGGTCCACTATGTCACACGCATATTACATAACAGTTATATTTATAGCTGTCCCAACTTACCAAATACAAACACAGAATCAACTATTCGCTCAAATGTTTTTATACCGCGACGTTTGCACTGTCACATTTTGCAGCGGGTTAAATGAATTATCTCAGTTTTTCACAAGCCAACAAAAACACACAAGAATTAGTGCACTGTTCCGTTCAAGCATTGTTTAGCGTTTACTGTCTACAGAGTCCGCTTCGGTAACCAAATGGGCGTTGCAAAAATATATAAAAACTCCTCAGAAATTGTAGCCAACTAATATCCTTTTTACGGTGGAATGCCATTTACCCAATTGTTCCTTTCAGTTGAATTAGACACCTCTCTGTTTCTACATCTCGAGTACAGCCATACAAAGCCGTGTCCCAATGCAAACGTCGCCCCCACATGGTTTATATCACTCGTTGGCTTACGACATAGGTACTTATGACATAGTTGCGATGGAATCAATAAAACTATTGTTTGTATTTTTGTCTGTCGCTCGGCGCTCGTACGGTACTGCAACGTAGCGTAATGTCATCGCCTAGTGGACGTCGGAGCTCTCCTGCTTGGTCATCTGGTGGTTGGCCGGGTCCGAAGTATTGATTGGCTGAAAGTGAAAAAAGAATCAAGTTACCATCTCTAAATAAATAAAATATTGTATCATTTGAAAAAATCAATTCGAAAAATGTACTAATTAATCTTCCCTTAGTTCATGCAACTTTTAAATTTTCTTATAAGAAGACATAAAAGTTTCAACCCTCTTCTTAATGGAGTAACAACCTGTTCATGTTCGCTGCTTGTAGTAGTTGATGGATGCATGTGGCTCAGGACTGCGCTTGGGGGCAATCTATGAGGGTGCCCGAAGTCCAGCAGTGGACTTGTGATGGGCTGCAATGATGGTGATGAAGGTAGTGCTTAGAAATTGTGTCTTTTTAACATATATATGAAAGTACATAGTCAACTATATGGTGAGGTTTTTAAGTTATTCAATACACATCTCATAGTGGTTAAATCCTAAGTGACATACATATTTCTCACAGATTGGATTGATTTGCAGTTATTTATAGCATTATGCTATGTGTGTTCTCTGACAGATGCTATGGAACTAATTACTATATTAGAGGGTGCATTCAAGAAATCAATATACTTATATTTTTAACTAGCTGTGTCCGGCTTGTCATACAAATGCCTCTTTTTTGTCGAAAACCATTGCAGGCGTGCATCCTATACCATCTTTTACCATCTTCTGGTGTATCACCACTTACCATCAGGTGAGTAAAAAAATTGTATCAATGGTATAGAAATACACAAAAGACAAATCTAACAAATGTTCATCTTTGTATTCAATTATATTTCTAAAAAGAACATTAGATAGATAGATAACTCTTTCTTGCATTTATACAAAGTGGTAACAATTACGGCAAACTTAAGAACTACAAACGGTGGTCATATCGCTTTAAGCGATTTCTACCTTATCCAATATAAGGTACAATGTATTGGATAAAAAGACAATGTGTTCACTGTTGAATGAACGCGCTGGTTTGGTGTGTACCACATTCATGTAACGAGATAATGGTTACTCACCATGGTTAAACTTTTGCTATTAAATGTTTTTAATCTCGATAGGTGTCAGCATAAGTAAGTCTTTCGTGTGTAAATGATATAGCGCCATACTCACGAGCATGATGGCAGTTTGTACACCGTGGGGTATTCGTGCTAGCCACAAAAGAAAAAGAAAAAGGGAAAAGAAATGCTGTACTCACGAACGAGGAGGAGGAGGAAACTCGCATATGCACGTTGCGTTGGGAGTGCAAGAGAGAGGGAAAAAAAAGCGCTGTATTCGTAGGCAGAGGGCGGGTCGTGTACGTGCCGGTGCGAGTGAGAGAGCAGTGAACTCACGAGCGAGGCGGGCGACCTGTGTGAGTGAGGAGAAGAGTATGCGCAGTGTACTTACGAGTGAGGTGGGCGATATATGAGATATATGCCAGTGCAAATGCTGTAGCTCGTGTACGTACCGATGGCAGTGTGAATGAGATGGAGTGCGCGCTGTTTTCACAGGCTACGGGACGCGAGCGGGACGGCGTGTACTCACGAGCGAGATGGGCGGCTGCGGCGGCTGCGGCGGCGGCGCGGGCTGCGGCGGCAGCGCGGGCTCGTGCACGGTGGTGGAGTGCGCGGCCTGCGCGCCGCCGTAGTAGCCGCCGTTGACCGCGTCGGTGTACTGCGCGGGCGGGGCCGGGGGCGGGGTGCGAGCGGGACAGTGTGCACTCACGAGCGAGATGGGCGGCTGCGGCGGCTGCGGCGGCGGCGCGGGCTGCGGCGGCAGCGCGGGCTCGTGCACGGTGGTGGAGTGCGCGGCCTGCGCGCCGCCGTAGTAGCCGCCGTTGACCGCGTCGGTGTACTGCGCGGGCGGGGCCGGGGGCGGGGTGCGAGCGGGACAGTGTGCACTCACGAGCGAGATGGGCGGCTGCGGCGGCTGCGGCGGCGGCGCGGGCTGCGGCGGCAGCGCGGGCTCGTGCACGGTGGTGGAGTGCGCGGCCTGCGCGCCGCCGTAGTAGCCGCCGTTGACCGCGTCGGTGTACTGCGCGGGCGGGGCCGGGGGCGGGGTGCGAGCGGGACAGTGTGCACTCACGAGCGAGATGGGCGGCTGCGGCGGCTGCGGCGGCGGCGCGGGCTGCGGCGGCAGCGCGGGCTCGTGCACGGTGGTGGAGTGCGCGGCCCGCGCGCCGCCGTAGTAGCCGCCGTTGACCGCGTCGGTGTACTGCGCGGGCGGGGCCGGGGGCGGGGTGCGAGCGGGACAGTGTGCACTCACGAGCGAGATGGGCGGCTGCGGCGGCTGCGGCGGCGGCGCGGGCTGCGGCGGCAGCGCGGGCTCGTGCACGGTGGTGGAGTGCGCGGCCTGCGCGCCGCCGTAGTAGCCGCCGTTGACCGCGTCGGTGTACTGCGCGGGCGGGGCCGGGGGCGGGGTGCGAGCGGGACAGTGTGCACTCACGAGCGAGATGGGCGGCTGCGGCGGCTGCGGCGGCGGCGCGGGCTGCGGCGGCAGCGCGGGCTCGTGCACGGTGGTGGAGTGCGCGGCCTGCGCGCCGCCGTAGTAGCCGCCGTTGACCGCGTCGGTGTACTGCGCGGGCGGGGCCGGGGGCGGGGTGCGAGCGGGACAGTGTGCACTCACGAGCGAGATGGGCGGCTGCGGCGGCTGCGGCGGCGGCGCGGGCTGCGGCGGCAGCGCGGGCTCGTGCACGGTGGTGGAGTGCGCGGCCTGCGCGCCGCCGTAGTAGCCGCCGTTGACCGCGTCGGTGTACTGCGCGGGCGGGGCCGGGGGCGGGGTGCGAGCGGGACAGTGTGCACTCACGAGCGAGATGGGCGGCTGCGGCGGCTGCGGCGGCGGCGCGGGCTGCGGCGGCAGCGCGGGCTCGTGCACGGTGGTGGAGTGCGCGGCCTGCGCGCCGCCGTAGTAGCCGCCGTTGACCGCGTCGGTGTACTGCGCGGGCGGGGCCGGGGGCGGGGTGCGAGCGGGACAGTGTGCACTCACGAGCGAGATGGGCGGCTGCGGCGGCTGCGGCGGCGGCGCGGGCTGCGGCGGCAGCGCGGGCTCGTGCACGGTGGTGGAGTGCGCGGCCTGCGCGCCGCCGTAGTAGCCGCCGTTGACCGCGTCGGTGTACTGCGCGGGCGCGGCCAGCGGCGGCGCGGGCGCGCCCAGCACGGGCGCCGCGCCGGCCAGGAAGTAGTCCTTGTTGACGCAGTTGCGCAGGCACTCGGGGATGCGGCCCACGATGGCGCGCCGGATCTCCGACGCCGCCATCTCGCGCAGCTCCTGCGCCGACGCGTCCGAGTAGAACGCCGCGTGCGGTGTGCACAGCACGTTCGGCGCCTCCTTCAGCGGACCCTACACCACCACACAATGTTAAACCTTTAATAATTATACTCAAGTAACAACCTACAGTGAGCTCAACTAGTAGGTCGACAGACCATACAACCCTTTGACTGTTGAATGAAAAGGAGAGATCTCCCACCAGACAAGGTGTGATACAGACTGTATTCTATTTATACCATAGTACTTCGAAAATTTCATAGCGGTGATTTAGAATTCGGTGAAATTTACTTGTGACGCGATAACAACGCCACCACTACGAAAAACCTAAAACCTATGAAAACGAAAAACCATATAGTTCAACGGTGAACTTGTACAGGGCTGTTATAACAATGATGAAAGTAACAAACCTTACGAGGGCTGCACTAAAAGTATCGGGAATGGAATATTTCCACTGGAACAGTGGAAATATTCCATTCCCGATACTAGACAAGGACTTTTCAATTTAAAAAAATGTCATATTAAATTTTTTTTAATTGAAAAGTCTTTGGTTTTAAAAATCGAATACCATTTATTTATTTAAAAAAAGATTCTCGGTCTTGTCACAAGGTTTTGTCAAACTTGTTTAGTCATTGAGAAAATGAAATTGACTCGAGAAAATTTAAGAGTGATGATTTATTATGACTTTCGAAGTGGTTTAACACAAAAACAGTGTGTTGACCGGATGATTTCTGAACCACAATTTATCGCTGGTTTGCTGAATTTCAACGTGGACGTGTCAAGCTCAGTGATGATCCCCATCAAAAACGTCCAAAAGCTGTAGTCACCCAAGAAAACGTTGATGCTGTGCGTAAGCTGATTGAGGAAGATCGACATGTGACATACCGCGAAATTCAGGCAACTTTAGACATTGGCATGAGTCAAATACACATAATCTTGCATGAACAATTAGATGTAAAAAAGTTGTTTTCCCGGTGGATACCGCATTCGCTCTGTGGAGAGCAAAAAGCGGCTCGCGTTACTTGGTGCGTCAGAACTCTCGAAAGATTCCACGCAGGATCCTCAAATGCTGTATACAACATCGTATCAGGTGACGAATCATGGATATACGCGTACGAACCCGAAACAAAAAAACCAGTCACGAGTTTGGGTGTTCGAAAATGAGTTAAAGCCAACAAAAATTCTTCGTTCACGGAGTGTTGCAAAAAAATGGTGGCCACGTTTGTCTCCAAAACCAGCCATGTTACGACTATTCCTCTTGAGGGACAAAGAACGGTTAATGCAGAATGGTATGCTAGCATTTGATTGCCACAGGTCGTTTCTGAACTCCGTAAAGAGAACTGCAACCGCCGCATCATCCTCCATCACGACAATGCGAGTTCTCACACCGTACACAGAACAAAAGTTTTTAGAGCAAGAAAACATAGAATTATTAGACCATCCACCGTACAGCCCCGACCTAATGATTCTATACTTTCCCTAAAATAAAGAATAAATTGCGCGGAGAGAGATTTTTATCACCTGAAGAAGCTGTGGACGCCTACAAAACGGCCATTTTCGAGACCCCAACTTCCGAATGGAATGGTTGCTTCAATGATTGGTTCCATCGTGTGGAAAAATGTGTCAAATTTTGCGGAGAATACTTCGAAAAGCAATAAATATATTTTTAAATAGTAATGTTGTGTCACTTCCTTGATTCCCGAAATTTTCAGTGCCACCCTCGTATAAGTTCTACAGATGAACACAAAATATAGATAATTATAAAAAAAAATAAGACACACTATCACTCTTGGGAAGAGAATTTAATTCTCATCTCCTTTAACCATGCTACCCCAATGCTTGATTAGCACACATCACATTTCCTCAAAATTTTCACTACTAGTATAATACATAATATATTACATAATATATTAATGCAACAAATGATGAATAAAGATGTACTTAAATTTGGCAAAAATTGGCAATAAATTATAAAGTAAGTAAATACATGTTCACTTTGTTGAATCATCTCTACCTATCAGCTTCCTTTGCCTGAATGTAATGAAATAATGTATAGCATGCCTAATACAAAAACACTTCATTGTCTTAAGCTACTCATGACAATGTGTTCTTTTATAATAAGTTCATAAAAAAAAATTTACAATGTTACAAGATAAAAACTTAGCCGAGTAGAACTCATGAGTATCTAACAATTTACAATAAAAGATCTCCTAAAGATAGCACTGTGTTTCCAATCAACTTCTTATATGAAATTAGCTGATACTTAGCATTTAAGAAAATCTTTACAAATCCAATAAAACACCCTGAAAGAATACACACATGGGAGCTTTTGTTGCTAGATATACAAAAACCATGATATTATGACAACACTTACCTGGAAAACATTGAAAGGCTCGTTTTCGTGTACATCAAGTGCGGCGGCACGAATTCGACCTTGTTTTAATGCGGTGGCCAGGCCTTCGTCGTCCACTAAACCGCCGCGGGCAGTGTTCACCAGGAACGCGCCTGTAAATGAGTTACATGGCTAATTATAATACAATCTTTACAAACATCGACATATTAAATGCAAAAAATATTGAATACTTTGACAGCATCTTTAGAAAATTACTACATTATTTATATAATTAGAATATGCTATTTTCAGTAACGGTCTTAAAAGTTGGTTGGTTTAAAGATTTTTATTACTTAAAATTATAATGCTTCGATAAGAAACTATCTGGAAAATATATCTCAATAGACAGTGTCAAACATTCATTATTTGACCACAAAAAACATTAGATTCAAATGAGAAATTAAAAACCAGTTTCAAATTTAAATGTCTTCAGTGTGGTACCACTTTCGGGTTTTTTTGGACACTTACTAAAATTCTGATTCTTTAAGACAGATTTTAAAAGTTCCCTGGTGAGAATTGCGGTATTCTGATCTAGCTTTATTTTTATAGCAGTATATGTTTTGCAAGGCCAATCACTAAATAATTTGGTACAAGTTTGAACTTAGCTCCTGTATACTGGTAAAGTGCTACTAAGTACTAACACAACCAGTATTTATTGCAGTTCTGATACTAGCACCAGCTCTCTTTGTTTTTTATTGTTGGTTATTGTAGTTAGGTAACAATAATTCTGGCAGTGTCTGAGTCGTTGGTTATGTCTTGAGGCTTCTCGATAAGAAAGAAGTTGGTGGTTTTCAGGTGAAAATGGGACTAAAAACAAAACCAAACTAAGCACAGAGTTATAGACAACACAAGACAGAACAAACATCTAGTTATGGGAGAGGAGTACCCTGAACTATCATTATAAACTTTTGGAGTCCCTGATTAAAATATTTTGGCGAAAATCTCACTTGATAAACATTAAAAACAAATGTATTTCTAAACGCTTCTTTCTTATTACAACATAATAAAAAAAACATGCAAACATTGTTGTTCTAAATCTATATATGTAGGTAGGCTCAGAGATTACTCTCGCATTTAATTTCATAAGACGCAAGCAACTAGAGAATGTTCGGTTCCCGCCAATACCACTGAGATTAGTAGTTGAGTTGCAATGAACGCTGATATCACAGGCTTTGTGATTTTGATTTCAAAGCTCACATATTAGGCTCCTTAAGTACTTAATAGTATTGTGTAATGCTAGCAACATAAATTAATAAATTAATATTAATGATACCTGGACGCATCTGTTTGATAGTGAACTCGTTGATGAGGTGATGATTGTGCTCGTTTAGGCTGCAGTGCAATGACACACAATCACTCTGGAATAGGAGGTCCTGCAACACAATATACTAACCTATTAACAACTTATGACATGCAATTTTTGTTTAGTGGTAGTCATAACATGTAACAATAAATAAAATCATATGAAATGCCAAATGTGTATTGTGTCAGTACCCATACTTTAGTTTATGGTCAAAATTACGAATAACATGTTAACGATTTTTGGTTTAATTTGGCTGATGTTTGGTTTTTTATGATTAGTAGGAATAGTACTAGGTTCCATAAATGTGAAAGAAGCAGAGGGATAGTTCTCCAGACAGAATTTTGGTCACGGTGGCCAGTCTCATTGGTGACAAGCCATTTACACAGGACAGAATTTAAGTGCCCAACTCAGGAGTATCAGGTAAACATAACTCAATATAAGTAGCTCAATTAATGTACAATATATAAATACTATAACTATCCTACTGCTTCTTGCAAGTATATATTCTTGCCTAGTAGTATCCCTAAAATATGGATGTGAAAGAAGCGAGAAAGATGTGTCAGGATCATGGCATGCTATCTGTAGTCTATGGTGTCTACCTACACTGATAAAAAATTCTATCTATTTTATATAGTAGGAATGAATTTTTTCCCCAGTGGTACCATTCAGGTCTACTTGGTAAGAAAATTCCTAGTAATCTTACTTGTAAGACTATTTGATAAGACTACTGGGAAAATACCCCATCATATAGCAGTGACAAGTATATGTTCAGCAGTGTTCTTGTGAAGGGATATAATGATGATGACGAGTGATATAAACCGAATTTCGTGTGTGTAGAGAGCCCGGTCTCAATGGAGACTAGCTATCTAAGCAGGAATATAGTGCACAAGTGGGTGGGCAAGCACAAGTGTAATTTTTATTTTCATAACTCTCCATAGTCCAATGGAATGGCATTCTGACACGGCCGAAGAGGTCAGGCGCAGCACCAACTACGGCTTTACGTACTTTCTTCTTGAAAACGCGGTTGAAAAACCGCCAATAACATGACTTGTTTGTTATTAGGATTTCTAGACAAAAAATGTGATTTTGGCCAAACTCAGGTTCAAACCCAGTATCACATAATCATCTGTGGTGCTTACGACCATTAGAACAATGGGGCAGTTAATGATGCAATAGCCTGTTACTTTATAATGTACCCAAATAAAGAGATACTCATTATAACAAAATTAAAAAGATAACTAGTGACATCATTATTGTGTTTATGATACAAACAGCACACAGTTCACCTTTTATTCCTTTATGTATGTAGTGTATAAGGACTGTATACAAACGAATAAATATGTGTGCAAACCATACTAAACTGGAGTACCTTTATAGCCAATAATTCTCTCATTTTATAATATGCATATGACAAGCAATGTAGTGTAAACTATAATTTTAATGCTTGTGATGAAAAACATGGTAGCGTCAAGCTGCAGCTATATTTATAATATAGTTATAGGGAGTGGTCAGCTCGACTGGAGAAGGACCACACTCTCACAGAATACCGACGTAAAATAGCAGCTTAATGCTGGTGTGTTTCGTATGGTGAGTGTAGAGAACCGGAGACCCTTTTTACTGGTAAAGAGGCATTCCATCTTAGTTCTCACGGCTGACAACGCATCTGCTTTTTAGAGAGAGGATAGATGTAGATGTCTATGGGCCACAGCAACCACTTACCATCAGGTGGACTGTGTGCTCGTTTGTCACTCTATTTCTATATAAAAAAAAATTGATTAGAGTTAAGACGGAATACAAGGAAAGTTTTATAGTTACTAGTATTCTGTTCAGTATTTTATCGTTCTACTCCTGACAGAAGTGAATTCTGAATCAATCGCATTTTACTCGTACTCCGAAAACCAAAGCTAGCGCTAGAAGATGGCTGGGTGCTACCATCTGCTTGGGATCCCATAATTAATAAAATTAAATCCCAACCCAAGCAACAACTGTAGATCTTCAAGATACTGTAAGTTCATACTGTCTAGATCGGAACAAAAATTAATAATTTTTAATCTGGAGATAACCGTGGTTAACTATGATTATTGGGATGTCATACACCTCACTCACCTTCGTGACTATGGGTGCTGGAAAGTGCTCGAAACGTCGGGAATATAAAAGTCAATATACACGATAAAATCCATAAAATTAGTTTTATTTAAATGACGAGAATGATTTTTATTTATAAGTATGTCTTTATAAATATTTAAGAAAATTTTTGATTTTTTAAAATGATCTTCTGATAAAATAATATCCAGATGTGCCTTATGCGCGCTGATATACACTTGATCGTGTTTCTAAATTCAAATTGGTTAGGGAGTAAACTTAAAAAATTGCTGGAAAGTACGTCTTCCTTTGGAAGAATTAGTAAAAAACTCAACAGGAAATTTTTTACCTTTATAATGGAACTGGAAACAATTTCCTTGTTGCCAGGGGTTTATTTTCATTCATGGCTCAACAGGGAAATGTATATAGTGTTATCTGGTGTAGAGTGAGAGTGGGAGGACGGGGACGCACCTGCAGCGTGTAGACCCTGGTGAGGCCGAGCGACTTCTCGATGCCGTCGGGCAGGTAGGGGTCGTAGAAGATGACGTTGAAGCCGAAGGCCTTGGCGCGCAGCGCGACGGCCGAGCCGATGCGGCCGAGCCCCACGATGCCCAGCGTGTCGCCGCGGATGCGCGCGCACCCCGTCGCCGCCTCGCGCACCTGCTCCGGACCTGCCCCGTACACATGCTCTTACATTTACCACTCGCGCAGATAAACAATGGGATTATAAATGGCGTCGCCTCTATTCACCTTTCGCTTGCACATTATCTCTGTCTTGTACCCACACATATTTAAGTATTATTAATTGTTTATTTGGTAACGTCAATAATTACATTACTTAAGAATTTGTACATTAATTTATCTCCCACCTCCCTATTTTAATTATGATAATTTTAATACAAAATTCGATAGATCTAATATACTAATCAAATTATTCCAATTACCAAATAAACCAACATAATGTTTCAATTAATATAACTACGAACAAAGCTTATGCATTGTTTTTATTTTTAGTACCATGTAGCATACACGGACAGTACAGGTTCGATAAACCCGCCATTTCTAGTCCCATTCTTTATATGCACGGGTTGTACGTGTTTTAGTTTAAACAAAAAACAAATGATATATCTATGAATGATTTCTTAAATGATATTTCTATATATTAAACTAAATACAATGATCTAGAAGACAAACAAAATCTGAAAATGTGCAAAATCTTGAATTTTGGACATTTTAATGCCAAATGAATTAATTGACCTGGTTTTATTGTATTATGCACTCACCAGATTGCTTATTTTTATCCAACTTAAATTGCCCATAATATTTTTAAATAATGTTTATAAAAATATATCTTGAATTGTCAAGATTTACATACTTACTCAGCTAGAGTCCAGTATGAAAATGTCAATAGTTATGGAAAAAATCTAAATTTATCTTTAAATTCAACAATCTGGGCTACTTTACCTATAAAATTTGTTCACGATGGGGAAAAGTGTTTAAAAACAATATTAAAACACTTACAACAACAATATTACAGACAAAGTGTTTAAAAACAATATTAAAAGTGAAATTGGTGACAAAACTAAGTGAAAAGTGTATTAATATAATTTTACAGCATATATAACCCTAATATGTTAGTATAGGATATTGTTTTGATTATTGTTAAGATAAACAACTTTTATTATATACAAAGAAAAGTCGACCAATCAGAGCGCGACGTATTGTGGAACGTTCTAGAAGTTTTTAATTAACTGCAAATAGTTGATCCTGAAAATAATGGGAATAATTTTTATGTTCTAAAAGAGTTATAAATATAACATTAAATTTGAATAAGGTTTATAGATTGAGGAAATTAAAGAATATTTTGTATAATTAAACTCATTTACTATTTATAGTAAAATTAAAGAATTAATGTACCCAAATATTATGAAAATTCCGGACATTTTGTTTAATAACTTTTTTTATGTCAATATATTGAGTAACCTTTATGATATACTAATAAAAGACTAAATTTCCGATTTAATAATGTATATCATATTAGTGTAGAAATGGATCTTGTATAGAAAATATTGTAATTTATGCCAATTGTATAGTGAAAATGTTATACAATAAACAGGCAAAATGGACAATGGCAAGCGGCTCACTATAAAGAATAGCTCAAGTCTACCTTAGGGCCTCGGGACCCAGTAACATGGTAGTATGAAGAACTACCAGTGGGAAGCAGTAGTATGAAAAACTACCAGTAAGAAGTGGTAGTAACCAGTAGTAGCTGAAGTGACTAGTAGCAGAATATAGTTAATAGTGAATAGTAGCTAGCAACAGTGGTAACTGATATTTGCAGTTACAAGTGAAAGTGATTGCTAGCCGAAAAAAGTCGTAACTGATATTTGCAGTTACATAATTGAAAGTGATAGCTAGCTGCAGAAAGTCGTAACTGATATTTGCAGTTACATAATTGAAAGTGATAGCTAGTCGCAGAAAGTGGTAACTGATATCCGCAGTTACTCAAGTGATAAAAATAGCTAGTTTGGTTGATAACAGCTGCTAGTTAGACAGTGTTATTAAAACCAGCTACTACTAATAGATATTTCATACTACCAAACAATTATAAGATATCTTTGAAAAATATAGTGACCAACTGATAGTGAACAACCGTAGTTGAACAACAGTATTCAACAACCGTGGTCAATAAATATAATTGTTAGAAGATTTCCGCGTATAATTGATCAGTCGAACCGCTGGCCACTGCCTTGCCATTTATATTTTATAGATCGTGCATTTTAATTTTGAACCTCAGTCCACAGTACCCCAGCTGCACTCACAAAGAAGGCAGTAGAAGTATCCTCCGGAATCTATAGGTGTAGGACGTGAGCGACTCACGGAGTATCTCTGTCGACATTTACTCCGGAGTTTCGCCCGTCCGGCACAAAATTTGGAGGTAAAAATTGGTGCAGGAAATCTTTCTAGTAATACATTTCCTGCCTTCCTTGGTTCCATGTGTAGTATCATTGATTTATGTAAAAAAAATGTAAATAATAAAGAAGACCTGTGCTTTGATGCAGAGGCAAGACAGACATGGCAAACACTCAGTCCCAGCAAGAATGTTTCACTAGAAGGTAACCAACAGAACAGTGAGATATTGTTTAATAAATTATCAAACATTAATATTTATCTGCATTCTATATCTATTAATTAATATCTGTATATCCCTTTTTATTTCTTACCAGCTCTTCTCCGCGACTTCGCTCTAGTGTTAGGGTTTTTATTTTTTTGCGCAGAACCCTAATTCCTTTTTTTAAATAATGACATCAGCTATCTAACAGTGAAAGTGCCGTCAAAATCGGTCCAGCCGTTTCGGGGATTAACCGGAACAAGCAGACAGACAGAAAAAAAATTGTATTTTAGTTATAAGTACCGTATTTACTTTCATATGCATTTAGTAAAAAGTTGTAATTTTGACATTACAAACAGACACTTCAGTTTTATTTATTTGAATATATATCTAATAATTCTGCTTATATTATATCTACATATTTCAGGTTTTGTTTATTTTAGTTAATGTTATTCACTACTAGTTAATCGCACTAGCGTCCAAAGACGCAGTGTGTGAATGTGTCAACAAATGACGTGGGGTAACTCAACACCCCAGTGAGTTTGTGTAACCATATGAAAATAAAAATACCGTATTTTCATTATCATATGCATTCATGGCGACCATGGTAACGGCGGGGCAGGGGGTGCTAAGAATCTCCGGTGGAGGTTCGGTTGCCACCTTAGACGACTCGACCTGGCAACGTACAACGCACGCACCCTGAGGACTGACGAGAAGATCGTGGAGCTGGAAGAAGAGATAGACAAGTTGCGCTGGCATATTATCGGATTATCCGAAGTCCGAAGAGAGGGGGAGGACACGGTAATCCTCGAATCCGGCAACTTGCTCTATCACCGGGAGGGCGACCATCTGTTCCAAGGAGGTGTCGGATTTATCGTCCACAAGTCTCTCGTTAACAACGTTGTAAAGATCGGGAGTGTGTCGACGAGGGTTGCGTACATTATACTCAGAATCACCAAACGGTATTCGCTGAAGGTCATACAGGTTTACGCACCAACCTCGGCACACCCCGATCAGGAGGTGGAGGAAATGTATGAGGATATCTGTAGAGCCATGCATTCCTCCAAAACCCAATATACGGTGTTAATGGGAGACTTCAATGCAAAACTAGGCACAAGAGAGAACGGTGAGCTGAAAGTAGGGAAATTTGGAATAGGGCAACGGAACCCAAGGGGCCAGCAGCTGGCCGACTTCATGGAGAAAGAGGGACTCTTTATGATGAACTCTTTCTTCCAGAAGCGGCCCCACAGGAAGTGGACCTGGTCGAGCCCCGACGGTTCGACAAAAAATGAGATTGACTTCATTATGACGACCAGACGACAACTGTTCAGTGATGTCTCCGTGATCGCGAGGGTGAAAACTGGTAGCGATCACCGAATGGTTAGAGGCACACTGAACCTAAACGTTAAGTTGGAGAGGTCTCGTCTAATGAAGTCAACGCTCCGTCCCCCTCGTGCTCTAATCCAAAGTCCCGAAACCTTTCAGCTCGAGTTACAAAACCGTTTTCAGTGCCTAGAAGACTGCAATGAAGTGGACGATTTGAATGACAAGCTCGTGGAAACTGTCCATGCGGTCGGAGCTAAGTTCTGCAAGACCCGCCGCAGAAGAACACAAAAACTCTCCGATCACACTCTTAATCTCATGGCTGTTAGACGGGAGATGAAGATACATTCTTCAACAGACTTGACAGCATACAGGCATCTGAACAGACAGATCTCCAAATGCATGCGGCGGGACTTACGCAACTTCAATACAGCTCGTATTGAAGAAGCGATAGAGCGGAACCAAGGCTCCAAAGTCTTTGCCAGAGATCTGTCTGCCAGAAAGAGCCAACTGTCAAAGCTGAAGACCGAATGTGGCAGCATCGTTTCCGGGACACCTGAGATTTTGAGTGAGATTGAGAGGTTCTATGGGCAGCTGTACACGTCATTGTTGGAGCCACACGCAAGTGTGAGTAACGATCCAAGAGCGAGTCTCATCCGACACTATTCCGAAGATATCCCGGACGTCAGTCTGAGCGAGATTAGAATGGCTCTCCAGCACCTTAAAAACGGTAAGGCCACAGGCGAGGATGGAATTACAGCGGAGCTTCTGAAAGCGGGTGGAAGACCGGTACTTGAAGTCCTTCAGAGGCTCTTTAATTCCGTCCTCCATGGTGGCATTACACCGGAGGCGTGGAGCAGAAGTGCGGTGGTCTTGTTCTTCAAGAAAGGTGACAACGCTCTCTTGAAGAACTACAGACCGATTTCCCTTCTGAGCCGCGTCTACGTGCTGTTTTCGAGAGTCATTACGAATCGTCTCGCGCGCAGACTTGACGACTTCCAGCCTCCCGAACAAGCCGGTTTCCGAAAGGGCTTTAGCACCATAGACCACATACATACCCTTCGGCAAGTTGTACAGAAGTCCGAAGAGTACAATTTGCCACTATGTCTGGCGTATGTGGACTATGAGAAAGCCTTTGATTCCGTCGAAATTTGGGCGGTGCTGCAGTCCCTTCAGCGGTGCCAAGTTGACTGTCGGTATATCGAAGTATTGAAGTGCTTGTACAGTAGGGCTACG